AGGGATGGTTTTTATCTCCTCAGAAGATATTTTGTTTATGCATGAGTGGGCTACAACCATATAAGATGTGTAGTGACATGTCCTCTTCTGCTTAGTAACTCAGGGTTTGCTGGAAGAGAACTCTTACAGAGTTAAGCTCGCCTGTTGTACATCTTTATTCATTACTAGCTGTTCCCGCAACTTTGCGTGGAATTTAACCTTATTTTTCTAAAATAAAAGTAGCCTAAGTTACTCCTTATTACATCAGCTACATGCCAATAAAAGTCCCGTCAAAATCGATCCAGCTATTTCAGAGATTAGACAGAACAAACAGACAGACAGACAAAAATTGTAAAAAATATTCATATGAACGTAGTCAAAACGGTTATTTCAATATTACAAACAGACACTCCAGTTTTATTTACCTATATGTATAGATAGAGTTATGTAACACTCGCGATGCGATGGTGGCAAACATAGTACGGGTATGGTAACCGTACAGTACCGTACAGAGCAAGCTGCTTATTGTAATCGATTTCTGGTATTCTCTGGTTTCAACACAGTCTGTGGTTTTATATATAAATATATGTTTAATTATATATAAAACCACATAAATATTTTTTGTGTACAATAAAGAATAAATATATCACTATGACTGATTTCCTCTTATTAATTGTTTAACCAGTTGGTTATATATCCAATATTTTTTCTATTTGAGTATTTAATAGAATTAGTGCTAATTGGTGGTTTGTATTCACACATTTAAACTTAAAAATGTAAAGTAATAATAAAATTATTTAAAAGAGCAACACGCAAGTTTCTTGCTCGTTCTTCTTGTGATGAGACAGCTTTCCGAACGAGCGGTAGATTAAAAAATGTAATGACTATTCAAAAGTGCTTCAATGTAAGTTTATTTGAATAAATGATTTTCTATTCTATTCTATTCTATGATTAGGGGCTTTATTTATATCCCAGTTTTGGTTGTATAGAAGTAGTTTATTCTAATAATAGTAATTTACAGCTATATATAGTAATGAAGAACAGTATACAAAAATTAGTGATCAGAAGTACAATAGTTGAAGAATTTCTCTAGAAGTTAAATTGTCGATTGTTTTTCCCGCGCTCAATGCAACGCTCCACAGATGCACAATAATATAAGGACGGCGCGCAGCCGCAGTAGGACGATGAGAGCATTATGGCAGTATGGGCGATGTTAATGAGTAGGGGGGAAGGTGATGGGTAGTAATGTGGATTCATGACCTCATTACTAGCAATGTACCATGTCAGGTTGACCTCCACGCGGTTCCCCCTGGAAACCATCGTGATGAATTCCTGATTAATCTGTCACGATGGGCTAACTGACCTGACCTCATGCTCATCTTATCATCCTCCACTGGTGTTCCGCCAGTGTAAACCGTTAGCGCAGGCGGGTGCGCCATTCCATTACAATGGCTAAAAAAAATACTATGAGTAGGGGGGAAGGTGATTGGTAGTAATGTGGATTTATGACCTCATTACTAGCAATGTACCATGTCAGGTTGACCTCCACGCGGTTCCCCCTGGAAACCATCGTGATGAATTCCTGGTGAATTTGTTACGATGGGCTAACTGAGCTGACCTCATGTTCATTCTATCATCCTCCACTGGTGCCCCGCCAGCGTAAACCGTTAGCGCAAGCGGGTGCACCATTCCATAATCACCCATAAAAAAAAAAATACTATGAGTATTAACACTATGTTTACACTACTTTGCTGTAGACACAAAAGCTAAGTGACGTAATACAATGGGTAAATACGTTCATTAGCCCGACCACTTACCGGAAGCGTTTAGTTCATGATGCTTTGTCTTTTGGTATTGTCTTGTCGATCTTGGGAAGTGCACGGTCGTCGATTACTATCGTTTATTGCGTATACAGTACGTAGTCGAGAATTAATTGCATGATCCGTGACGCAACTATATTTTAACGGCGGTTGTGGTCTAGTAGTTAAGCACACCGCTTCTAATGATCGCGGGTTCGATTCCTCAAACGGTGTAAAATTAGTATTAATTATTAACATTGTCTGTTTTGGTCTGGGTGTTTTCAATGTATATTGTTTATGCATATACAAAGAAAATATAAGTAGGTATTTAAAAATAGTCGTACCCATAACACAAGTTTTGCTTTACTAGGCACTAGATGGCGCTGTGTTACTTTTTTTCTCATTACAATCAAACCAGACAGCGCCATCTAGACCCAAGTTAAGCAGAGCTTGTGTTACGGGTACTAGACAACTTATATAAATAAATGGATATTTTTTTTGTAAATAAATACATATTATACATAGAAAACACCCAGACCGATACAAACAATCATACACATGAATACAAATATTTGTACCGTGCGAGGAATCGAACCCACGACCATCGGATAGTAAAGCGGTGTGCTAAACCACTAAACCACCGAGGCTGTCAAAATATAGATAGATAATTGTACTATTACATCATGATTAAAGTTATGGAATCAACAGTTGATCCATTTCGGACGTACAATGTGAAATTCAAATTCATATTTAATTAAATTACAATAAAAGTACAACTCATAATATATTTTTCATTAAATACTTTTGTGCACGACGCATCTACTTAGACTTTTATTGTATTTTTTATATATATTTAAAATTCATTTTCTATTGTTCTATTATTTGTCATTTTTGAAATATACATGTCTTTTACCATCAGCGACCGTAGTTTCTCTTGTAACTATTATAAAATTAAAATATATTAAAAATACAGTCCTTAGAAACCTCAGTAATTATAAACTTTTTTTTTTCTTCAACAAGATTATATTCGTCCAAGTGGCAAAAGCACTTACCTAATAGCAAGTTTTTTAGGGTTCTGTTAAATTTTCCATTGTATTTAAAATAAGTAGCCCGTCCAGGAACAGCAGGAGTTTTTTTTTATTTATAATCACAAATAAGCAGACGGTCCACATGCTTTTTTCGGACTACTCTAATACTATTAGCCGGGGGGAAGGGGATTGTCAGTAATGAGGGTTGATAACCCCATTGCTAGCAATGTACCATGTCAGATCGACCTCCACGCGATTCCCACTGGAAAGCATTGTGTTAAATTCCTGGTGAATTTGTCACGATGGGCTAACTGACCTGACCTCATGTTTATTTAGTCATCCTCCACTAGTGCCCCGCCAGCGTAAACCGTTAGCGCAGGCGGGTGCACCATTCCATTATCATCCACAAAAAAAAATACTGTTAGCCGTAGCTGGCCTTTACAGCTTCAACGGACGAGGCGAGGGCAGATGGCACTGCAAACCAAAGGAAGGACTTATGGTCAACTCCCGCCTGACGGGTACGACTTTAGTCTGAGGGTACCGCTAGGTTCGAACCTCGACCCAGACCGTTGTAATTTAGATCCCGTTCGGGATCGATCGCAGGGTAGACATGATGGTAAGTGGTAACCATAGCCTATATATATGAACAGCACTACAGACATCACGTTATCATGTGACACCCGTGATACCAATCATGCGTTAATTCCAGAGGACTATGATGTCATGCCTCTTACCTCTTTGTTCTCGTAATTTCATTTTGTTCACAACTTTATAACACACACACACACACACATTGCAATGAGAGGTCGAGACACATATGTATTTACACTAACGATATCATACGCCGGTCCCTTGCCACCGTCAACGTCCCAAGTCTACTTGACCAAGTCTCCAACTGGTATTGCAAAAGACGATGGTAAGAGACCGGACGGTATGAGTTTGATTCCATGGAAGATGGGCCGGGTGCTAGTATGGGATGCAACCTGTTCAGACACGCTGGTCCCATCCCATCTACATGGAACCAACAACAGAGCTGGTGCGGCATGTGAAGCGGCTGAAAAAGCCAAAACATGTAAATACAGGGGTCTGGGCTCCGAATGTGATTTTGTCCCATTCGGTGTCGAGACCCTTGGCCCGTGGGGTCCTAGCGCTATAAGACTTTTCAAAGAAATAACGAAAAGGTTAGTCGACATCGCAGAAGACCGAAGAGTTGGCAGCTACCTTGGACAAAGAATTAGTCTAGCTATTCAAAGAGGGAACGCTGCCAGTATCTTCGGAACGTTGCCTAAAGGGACCCCTTTTAATAATATATTTTAGTCATCATTTTTTTTTACACTCAAACATATATTATAATAGCTATACCCGCGGTTTCACCCTTTTTTTTCGGACTACTCTAATATTGTTGGCTGCAGCTAGCCTTTACAGCTTCACTGGACGATAGGGTGGAGTGCAGATGGCACTCCAAACCAAAGGAAGGACTTATGGAGCAGCTGAATGCCAACTCCTGCCTGACGGGTACGACTTTAGTCTGAGGGTGCTGCTAGGTTCGAACCTCGACCCAGACCGTTGTAATTTAGATCCCGTTCGGGATCGAACGGAGGGTAGACATATAGATGGCACTCCAAACCAATGGAAGGACTTATGGAGCGGTTGAAGGCCAACTCCTGCCTGACGGATACAACTTTAGTCTGAGGCTCAGGTCGTCGTAACATCAGTCCCAGTTTGAATTGAACGAGGGATCGATCGGAGGGTTTCACCCGTGTGAAACTTGTAGCCTATAAATAAAGACCTCATGCTCATCATATCATCCTCAGGATGTTTGTTACTCTTCCACATAAAAACTATTAAACGGATTTTTATAAAACTTTACAGTAATACAGCTTATCAGAATAACAGATAGACTATAAGTTTCATACGGATGAAACCGCGGGCACAGCTAGTCTTTTATGAAATTGTTGATATTTAGTTCCTTGTTTTATTTAGATTTGAACTAGAAACTTTTGTTAGATTAGCAAGAACAACTGGCAGACAGATGGTCAATTTTTTTATTTCTTTTTTCTTATGCAATTTTCTCCATGTGCATTTAGTTAAATGTTGTTAATTTAAAATTACAAATAGACATTACAATTTCATTTGTATTAGAATAATGTAATATTTTCTATGTTCTATCTAAATTAGGTATAATAAGACATAGGAATCAAAACTTATAATACTTTTATTAAGGCTTAGATTTAATTATTTACAAAATTCTATAACTAATCAGAAGTGCGCCGTCAGTCTATCTATCTCGTACAGGTCGGCCATGATCTCGTCAACTCTTGTGCCAATTTTCTTTGCGATCTGAAAGTAATATGTAACAATTAAAATAAGCCAGTGGCTATTATTAGACGACCTCGGTGGTCTAGCGGTCTTACCGCTACACCGCTTTATGTCCGATGGTCGCGGGTTCGATTCCTCGCATGGCACAGACATTTGTATTCATGAGTATGATTGTTTGTATCGGTCTAGGTGTTTTCTATGTATATTATGTATGTATTTACGAAAAAAAATTATCTATGTATTTTGTATCAGTTATCTATTATCTAGTACCCGTAACACAAGCTTTAGCTAGCTTAACTTGGGTCTAGATGGTGTTGTGTGAATTGTCCTGAGATTATTATTATTACTATTTTTATCCAAAAATTCTCATCTCCCTTCTTAAGGAGGGGAGATGGCAACATACCCCCGGCAGAAGCACAGTCGGCCGGGGCTCAGTGCCCCAGGGAGAGAAACCGGCGTACAATGCGGGCAGAATCTAACAGCACCGCTTTCTGCATCTTTCCCGGGAGTGAGCCGCCCCGGAATCCCAACCGTCTGAGATGCTGTTCCAGACTGGTTGGGATAAGACCGTTCACCGACATAACAATTGGAATGATTTCGGTGGACATCACATTATTATTATTATTATTATTATACAAATAATAAGGTCCTCAACACACGCATCATTCTCATATAACTTTTAGACTCATCCACGTTTGGCTAAGGCGCGCATGTTTGAACTTATTACCCCCGTAAAAAGGGACATATATAAAAGAATAATAATTTCAGGACAATTCACACTGCGCGAACTAGACCAAAATTAAGCTAACTAACACTTGTGTTATGAGTAGATAGACTAGATAATTGATACAAATACATAGATAATTTTTTTTTGCAAATACACTCTGTGGGCTCAACTGAAAATCAGCGCTGAAAATTTCCAGCATTATGCTGATTAGTCCATATTGACTTTATTTTGCAATGTGTGTATATTGTTGTTTGCTGAGTAGATAGACTAGATAATTGATACAAATACATAGATAATTTTTTTTTGCAAATATACTCTGTGGGCCCAACTGGAAATGAGCGCTGAAATGTGTGTAAATTGTTGTTTGCATTTTTTTGTCGTTTGTTGAGGAGTCATTAAAATAAGCATAGCTTGTGTTATAGGTACCAGACAACTGGTAGAATTACTTATATACATAGAAAACACCCAGACCAATAGAAACAATCATACTCATGAATACATGTGTTTGGTTATAAGGGCAGAGGAAGACCGAAAAAGAGATGGATGGACTGTGTGAAAGATGATATGGTAAGAAAGGGAGTAAATAGCGAGATGACTGCGAACAGGAATGGAAGAGAAAAAAATTCAAATTCAAAAATCATTTATTCATGTAAGACATTTTAGCCGCTTATGAACGTCAAATGTTTTCACATTATAATTTTATTTTTTTCCCTACCGTCCAGTTTAGTAGATCCAATTGAGAAGAACTGGCAAGAAACTCAATTGAATTACTTTTTTTAAATCCAATTTATTTACAATGTATATTTATATAGGTGTCTATGTGTAACATTAAATAAAAATCCCGTGCAAGAACAACTATTGCCATGCACGCTCGTCATTTAACGCCGACCCCAATTTAATGGGGTAAGGAAGAAGCAGATGATGATGTGAAAGTGTAGAACTAAATATATAAAATATACTTACGTCTTGCTTCTCAGCGTTGGGCATGGAAGGGAACAGAGCCACTAGGTCTCCGTCCAGGATACCTCGAGCGGCAGCGCCACCGCCTCTACGAAGCGGCTTGTACGTCCTACACCAGGACAACAATAAAATTATTATGTGTTTATAATACATAATAATTTTTACTTGTACCTTATGTTATATATTTATTATATATAACATAAGGTACAATTAAAAATTATTAATCTTATATATAAAATTCTCGTGTCACAGTTTTCGTTCCCATACTCCTCCGAAACGGCTTGACCATGAAATTTTGTGAGCGTATTGAGTAGGTCTGAGAATCGGCCAACATCTATTTTTCATCCCCCTAAATGTTAGGGGTAGTCCACCCCTAAATTTTTATTTTTATTTTAAGGCATAACAACGTTTGCCGGGACAGCTAGTTATTATATATTATAATATATTAAAAGAAGGTAGTTATTATTACTCGATATTGTTAAACTAGTTGCGTATAACCCCCACGCATATCTGTGTGAGAGGAGGGAGTGTTTTGTATTTTGGATATTAAAGTGGATTGTATTGGAGACGGGTTTATCCCGGACTTAGTTGGGCCTGGGTGGAAGCTGCAAGTAGTGAAGGTGAGTGTTAATGCATTCTAAAAGAGCCTTTTAAACCTACACCCGTGTCACGTGCGCTACTTGGGGGTTTCTCTTCTGTTAGCCGGCTTCAAATCCGTCATTATAACTATTGTTATAATGACTTAGTACACACATATAAGTTTAATTATAACATCACATCAAACAAGTATAACAATCCAATAAGAGTAAACCAGCATGTATGTTACAGCAATACAAAACTGGTATATAGCTCAGTGTGGAGAATCACTCACTGATTTTCAGCTGTTCTCGAGGGTTAATTATATACTATTACTTTTTTAAAACTAAAATAACGAAATAGTATGTAATAAATAATAAAAAAAACTTGAATATTCATCATCATCATTCAACAATACAATTTTATCGCTCTGGGTGTTTTCACCCAGAGCGATAAAATTGTATTGTTTGTATTGATTCAATACAAATGTCAGTAACATGTCAGGAATCGAACCTGCGCCCATCGAAAGTAAAGCACTATGACAAACCTACATACCTTAAAGTCTGTTTATTTAATGTCGGAGACTAAATTGACAGGTGTAAATGTCAAATTTCCAAGTAATGTTACCACCTATAGAGTAGTGGTGTACCTGCAATACCGATTTGTTCAATCGGAAACTTTTATTTTAACGTACTAGTTTTAAAGCTACAAATGACGTTTTCACAACAGATTTTTAAAAATTTACGTACGCATACTAGTGTCTCCATTACCGTCATCTTATTATACAGCATAAAAATACATTTTTGTCGTTTCCGTACAAATAGTAATTTTTATAGTATTAAACTACAAACCAAAATTTGTTTTTCTTTCAAACAGCAAAATATTTTATATAGGTGATTATTTTATAATATATATATTAACACTATAAAAAGGTCATTTGTTTTTATTAAATAGGCAGTCTTTATTTTAATGAAAAATAAAAAAAAACTATTTTGATACAACAACCATATATTTATCAATACCTATACTTTATTAATTTTATATTAATTCGTTTTATATAAGCACTCGCACATTATTTCTGAATAACTTATAAAAATGGGTAATTAATATTAATTTCCGATAGTGCCACAACCCTATTTAAAAAATCCAAATACCTGGCAACATCGGAAACGTCAAATTTATCTCCGGGATTAAAAACAACTATAATGTATGATTTTGTATACAGATGTAACATCCTTGTTCGGGTTGTACCGAAACTATAAAGATTCTGATAGGTAAAACTGATAAATAATACTGATAGAAACTTGATTAAAACTGTATATTGAAACTTAAAATATAACTGATTAATGAATGTAATGAGTACGCGCGGCGTCCTTGATGACCGAATGCGAACTGATTTTAATGAAATGTGAAATGTAAAATAAAATGTTAATGTTGCGAAATAATGTACGATGCTAGCTCGTACAATCCTTGATACCTGTATGCGCGTGGGTTGAGTCCAGCAATATGGCACGCGTAGTTATTGATCACATTCTGCAACATGAGCAGTCGGCGGTAAGTCTTCTCTGTAAGCGGGACCACGTACCCCACACCGCCGTCCAGGGTCGCTGTTAAAATCAACCAGCTTATATATTTATATCAGTTATTTATTCTTAACGTGAGCACAGCTAGTGCTACCTAGTTGAAACGTCGAGTTTTTATTATTGATTATAATGGACTGGTGCATCCGCTTGTTCTAACGGTATACGCTGGCGGAACAGCGGTGGAGGATGATAGGATCAACATGATGTCAGGTTAGTCAGCTAGATGATATCCAGGATAATATGTATAACGAGGGTAGGTCCTCTATTTGGGATACCTCGTCATCAGAACCCATGTTGGGCATGGTGTAGGCAAGAAATAATAGTCTTGATTTAAAGTATAATAGTCTATTAACTCACTCCCGATAACAAAATAATAAATTTAACAACGATCAGCCAGATGCAAACGGATTAGTCAGGGAAACGCGGCAAGTTCGGTACAGAGTGCAGAACGCGCCCCTCTCGCGCTCGCCCCCAATTCAAAAGTGCCGTCGTAATTGCCGTTAAAACTGCTTTACCCTGTACCGACCTCACCCAAGCAAACCGCTTGACGTTATAATAAAAAGTAATCAATTGAGCCTCTTTGTTGATTCTGCGACATGCATATATACTAGCTGATCCCGCAAACGTTGTTCTGCCATAGAAATTAAAACCGTTATTAAAAAGTAGAGGTTGGTGATGTAAGGGTGAAAATTTAGTTGTTGTTATGTATTATTTGATACCACATTATCTATACATATAAATAAAATTGGACTGTCTGTTTGTAATATTGAAATAACCGTCTTTTACTAAATGAATATGAATATGGTACATAAAACAAAATATTTTTTTTACAATTTTTGTCTGTCTGTCTGTTTGTTCCGACTAATCACTGAATTTGCTGGACCGATTTTGACGCGACTTTTTTTGGCAGGTAGCTGATGTAATAAGGAGTAACTTAGGCTACTTTTATTTGAAACAATCGTTTATTTTAGAAAAATAAAGTTAAATTCCACTCGGACGAGCGGTCGCGAGTATAGCTAGTAAAAAAAATAAAATTATGTCCAAATAAATAAATAAAACAATGTTAGTGGTATGAAAAATAGATAGCCTATTCTCAGATTATATGCTATTCAATATACATATACAGTGCACCATGCCATTATTATCTATAAAAGAAAAAAAAATACCTAACTTAAGTAGTGGCATACTTGGAGACGTAAATGCGTACTCACCGAACATGGTGACGTGCCTGCGAGGGGGTGGGGCCGAGGGCGGATGTCTGGCAGCGATGCGGAACATGGCGTTGACCTGCTGCCCCAGGTGGTAGTCACACTTGCGGATCAGACGCTGCCCTGCAAAAAAACCACAACACACAATGGATCCATCTGGGTGTTCTCTACGTATAGTAAACATGTCTAACATCCATAACACTAGGTGTGTTTATCATGGCACTAGATGGTGCTGTGTTAATTGTCCTCAGATAAAAAAATAGAATAGAATAGAAAATCATTTATTCAAATAAAATTAATTTAAGCACTTTTGAATAGTCATAACATTTTTTTTATCTACCGCTCTTTCGGAAAGCTGTCTCATAACAAGAAGAACGAGCAGTGCAGAACAGAGCAGAAACTTGTGCGTTGCTCTTTTAAATAATCCTTGTAGTGATGCAGACGAAGTCGCACGAGTCAGCTCGTCTATAATATCTCTTAATTTCTAAGATATAGAGTTGATCTCTCCGTTAAATCTCTAGGCCTAAAGTTAGTCTCACCTCCGTAGCTCTCCCTGGCCTGCGGCTGGTACATGAACATGGCGAAGTTACCATCCGCCTCGCTGACCAGGAACCCCAGATTCGTATTATCCACCATAAACTCCATATCGTAAATCTGGATATAAAAAATTGATATTTTAAAATAATAAAAAAAATAATCAGCAAAAGCTGAGAGAAAATAAATAATAATAATAATAATTATGTCGGTGAACGGTCTTATCCCAACCAGTCTGGAACAACATCTCAGACGGTTGGGATTCCGGGGCGGTTCACTCCCGGGAAAGATGCAGAAAGCGGTGCTGTTAGATTCTGCCCGCATTGTACGCCGGTTTCTCTCCGTGGGGCCCTGAGCCCCGGCCGACTGTGCTTCTGCCGGGGGTATGTTGCCATCTCCTCTCCTTAAGAGGGGAGATGAGAATATTTGGAAAAAAAAAAATAATAATAAAGACATTTTTTCAGCATTACAGTATTCTTAAATGCTATCTATCTTATTTACTTTACAACTTAAAAGCTAATTACATACTAGTAACACTGAATGTGACTCCCACTCAGCATTTATACTGTAGTATACATATACCACAGCGCTGATTTTCAGTGGGGCCACCACACACGAGACATGTGTGTCGTGTAGTGCGAAATGAGGATAGGTTGTATGACGAAGATGTAAATTAAATTAAATAAAATGGTGTTTATTTGGTTTATTATAAACAAGAACAAAAATAATAAAATACACACAAATCAAATCAAATTTGATTTATTCATATAGGTTCATGGTATATATTTGACGACCTCGGTGGTCTAGCGGTCTAGCACACCGCTTTACGACCGATGGTCGCGGGTTCGATTCCTCGCACGGCACAAACATTTGTATTCATGAGTATGATTGTTTGTATCGGATTGGATGTTTTCTCTGTATATTATGTATGTATTTACAAAATATATATATATATGTATATGTACCAGTTGTCTAGTACCCATAACACAAGCTTTAGCTAGCTTAACTTAGGTCTAGATGGCGCTGTTTGAATTGTCCTGAGATTATTATTATTATTTTAAATTGATTGTGAGTATCCTATTTCTAAGCATCTACCAAATAAACACCATTTTATTTATTCATATAGGAGAGAGCCAAACGGGTTGTAAACTAAAACGCAAGGAGCCTCAGGATCTCATCAAATAAATAGTATATATGTAAAGTAGACACATACCGAGTGTTGGATTAATAATACAACATATGCTTTTAATATATTTGGACTGTATTTTTTGCTTTATAAGTGTGTATAATATATATGACAGTTTGAATGAATCTTTTTTAAACTGTTAGATTACAAAACGAAAATATATACTACAAAATATTTATATTTATTTTAGGTTCAAATTGTCTTGAACACCGAGCATGCCATAAACAAGAACCCAACAACAATACTACTTAATGTTCAATTGTGACGTAATAAAAACTGTATAACACGAAAACACAAAAAAAATCATATAGGATATTTTAGCCACTTATCATCAACATTTTTGTATTAATATATTTTTTCCAGTATTATGTACACGTCCACCACCAGTATCAGTATCAGGTTCAGTAGCTGGAGTTGATTTCTTATATTTTTTATTCTTTATTGTACATAGGAAAAAAGATAACAGTAATAAGGTAAATGTAATATACAAAGGTAAGCTTATCTCTAAGAGATTTCTTCCAGCAAACATAGAAAATGTTATAGGATAATGTGGTCACTAGATCAGCCATACATAAAAGAAAAAAAAAAAGAAAAAGGACACATTGAGATTATATCTATACATCTATATATATAAATAAAATTGGAGTGGTCGTAATGTTAAACTCCACGGATGAGGTCGCGTGTACAGCTAGTATATAATAATAAGTTAAACTATAAGAATGAACAGACATACACAAGTATATGACATACATAAATGATATATACGGCTTTAGTTAATATCATTATCACCTGCGCGGTCCGGAAGTCCCTGGAGACGAGCGAGAGCGTCCTGTGCTGGGCCTGGTAGCGCAGCAGCGATATGGACTTGTACACGTCCGCCACCAGGATCAGGTTCTTCACGGCTAACATCCGGTGCACGTAGATCTGCGTGTCTATGAACGCCACGCCCACCAGATCGTTGTCTTTTAGCTGCCAGATGTAGATCTAGAAATATATTCATTAATAAAACATATTTTTATGAATTTTTTTTTAGTTTTTATTCACATTAAAGTTTAGTTGAATTAGATTAAAAAATATGATATCATGATACTGGGTATTGTGTATTCACACTAAACTTCAGTTGAATAATGATTATTTATATATTTATTCTATTCTTCCAGCCCTTAACGTTAAATATATCTATGATATACATAATGTGGACTTTTTTTATTTATTTAACAAACAAACTGATAGTCTATTTGGTCAGACAGCCTCAGTGGTCTAGTGGTTTAGCACACCGCTTTACTATCCGATGGTTGTGGGTTCGATTCCTCGCACGGTCCAAACATTTGTATTCATGATTGTTTGTATCAGTCTGGATGTTTTCTATGCATATGTATTTATTTACAAAAAAAAATGTAAAGTATTTATATCAGTTGTCTAGTACCCATACCACAAGCTCTGCTAGCTTGGGACTAGATGGAGCTGTGTTATTTGTCCAGGGTTATTATTATTATCTCCACGGGTTACGACTAACATAATAAACCTGGATGAATGGCGGTCGTCCAACATTAGTTTTTCCAGAAACTTTTTGCAAAACCACATTGTAGATCCTTCCAGCAATGGTATTTCCGAACTGATACTATATTGAAACCTTCATGAAAACAGCTTACTCCTTAAAAGGGGCGGTGGTAATCTCCATCAGGTGAGCCACATGCTCGTTTGTACCCTATACTGTAAAAAAATAAATTTCCATAGTGTAACATTTTCATAAAAAACTGACCTTTTGCCCAACAGCTGATATGAGATACCCGAACACTTGAGTGAGAGCGGTGACTGGTCCCTTCTGTTCTTTGGCATACAACTCTTTGAACCTGTTCTTCGTCAACGGCTGCCCAGGTTCCGGAACTACGTCGATGATGTCATAAATTAGTATCTGTAAATATATAATGAAGAGATATCACCCCTAACATTCTTGCCATAATCACATCCATCCTTGTAAACTTACTTAATTACAACTTACTTTACGACTTACTTAATTAAAAACATTGATATATATAATTTATAAATATTTCATTAATACGAAATTGACATACTCATATTATAAATAATGTACGTACTTAATATTGACTAACGAATAATAACCAAAATTGACATCTGTTTTGTCTGTTGCATGTCAGAAATGACAAAATGTGTGAAACTAATTCTAAAGACCTTAAAAACCACATATGTACCACATTTTAAGCAATAAATATTAATTTCATTTCATAAATAAAAAAAATGAATTTTTTTATTAAACCAAATCATCATTTTTTAATAACTACGATTGGTTTACGACGGCACAATTATGTCGTGACAATTATGTATTTTATTTGTTGCAAAAAGAATCATGGAAATCGGTGTAATAAAAATAGCAAAATTGAATTAAGACCCTGAAAAAAGAATGTGGATTTATAAGAGCAACGGAAAAAGATGGATGGACTGTGTGAAAGATAATTTGGCAAGAAATAGTGTGAGTGACTGCGAACAGGGATGAATGGAAGATAAAAACATTACGCCGACCCCATATGAATGGGAGAAGGGAGAAGCAGTCACATTTCTGCGTATCTGTTGTCTCACTCACCCGCCCTCGTGACGTGATATCTTCACTGTAGTTGTAATTGGTGCCAATAGCAATATACCCGCGTAGACCGGACCTAGAACATATAATAAAACAGCTGTTACATGAGACTTTGCACTAACTTCAGATAGATAGAACTTTTATTTGCAAAAAAGGACAGACACACACACAATGGTACAATAATATAATATCTGAGAACCAGTTTAATTATAATCATTGTATACTTATATAGATATCTATGTTGTTAGACATAAATGTAAATCCGTTTAGTGAATAATGAATGCGATTTGAATTGTAAGATTTTTTTTATGTTTACCTCCTTTATAATTAGACTGAATTCACTGTATAAGTGAGACAAATTAATCAGATTGAGACAGGTGTACATTTTATTCCATCTCTAAAAATGGAATAACAGTATATTTCGACCTCTACAAATGGGGGCCTCTGTAAATGAGACAACTTTAAAGCTGCTTAATTGGAAAATTGAATTAATGAAAACCCATAATAATTGGTACAAAATTCTTGGTCCCTTGAGATCCCCATTAACCAGGTTTCACTGTATTAATATTATGAATCTGGTGTCTGGTAAGGTGGTACCTGGTGCCCTCGTAGGAGAGCGAGACGTTCTTGAGGCAGGTGACGTGCTCCCACTCGTCGAGCTCGATGCGCGTGTTGGGGATGATCTCCCACGACACCGGCGAGAACAACGACACGCAGAACCGCTCCTGGCTCGGGTACGGGAACCTGCGACCCACGGTGGGAGATCACGGTAGCGAAACTTCAAGACTAACATACCTAACTCTGCTATATCTTGTCTCAAAATTGAAAATGTTTTCTGTATAATTCTTATGTATTAATTCTATTGATGCAATAAAGAGTTTATAAAAGACACTAGTAAAATTGTGAAATTTCTAGATTACCACGTCTAATTCTGGTATGTCTAATCTCAATATTGAAATTTGTAAAAGACGCTAGTGAATTTCTAGTCTACCACGCCTGTCTCTGTATGCTTTAGCTCGAGATTAAAGTTTTAATAAACTTCAATCTCGCGCTAAAGCTAACTCTGGTATACTTTATCTCAATAATGAAATTTATAAAGGCTGCTAGTGAAATTTTTAAATTACCATGCCTAACTCTGGTATATTTAGTCTCAAAATGGAAATTTATAAACGACGCTAGTGAAATTTCTAGATTATCACGCTTATTTGTGGTATATTTTGCCTTAAAATCGAAATATATAATTGAAGATAGGAAAAATTCTAGATTATCACGCCTATTTGTGGTATATAATGCTTCATAATTAAAATATATAAACGACGCTAGTGAATTTTCTAAATACCAAAATAATAATAATAAAGTAAAATGAATTATGTTCATCCACGACTGTGAAGCTGTGATGACTGCGAACAGGGATGAATGGAAAAGAGAAACATTACGCCGACCACAAATAAACGGGATAAGGAAGAAGCAGATCATGATGAAGGGAAACATGAGCATAATGCCATGACTAAAGGCGCGACGCAAATCGAACATCAAAAAAGTGTAGCGACCTGTCTCCCTTGTTCTCCGAGGACTTCTCCTTGTCCTCGCCGTTGAACTTGTAGTAGGAGGTGGCGGAGCCGGGCACGGAGGCCACGAGGCAGTAGGTCTTGGACTCGAGGTGGTAGGTGACGAAGTGCGGCGTCATCCGCAGCGGGACCTTGCGCACCGCCCACGGCGCGTCGTACGACAGGTGCGTCGGCAGCGCGCTGATACGCAGCGACGACTGCGACCAAGCACAGGCCAACCATTACGAAACCACTATTCAATTTCTTTCTTTCTTTCTTTGGTATTTCGTATGACGCAATCATCATCTACATTTTCCAACCCATGGTGGGTTGGGAAATGATTGCGACATCGCTAGTCATTTACTGTCGTACACGACTGGCAACCCTCACATTGTGTTTGCTAATAACACATTAATTGATAAATGTTTACGTGAGCATAGAGGGAAGAGGTGAGAGCTGTGCTTACTTTTGCTGACTAAGGAAAATGATGGAGTAAACAGTTGTAATAAATCTGTTTGTGTAATACTTGAACGGCCCCCCACTTCGATTTTCTCTTTTATAGGATAAGAATCAACCGAGCTTATGGCTCGGTTAATTCCACAAAGATTATTAATAATTGATTTTATGTTTTATTATTTCCTATATATTTGTTATATAAATAATATGACAAGACAAGACAAAATATAATAAGACAAAAATATACATAATAATAGTGCCGTAATTTCTTGTTTATATATTTTTTTTTATTGGGTTGTTTGGGCTATTGTCAGATGTTTGTAGCACCTGTAGCATTGCGACCTACATAGATCTATTGTGCTCGCCCTTTTTCAAAGTTCCCTACCCGTCAAGTACAAGAATTAATAGAGATAAAAACAATCGCTCCTAAGAATATCCTTATTCTTAGGAGCGATGGTTTTTATCTCCTCGGGAAAGAGTGTAAACTCCTCGGAAAAGTGTTGTTTAAGTATGTCATAGTCTATGTGAGTATTTAATAATATAATATAATTTAATTTAATCATTCCAAGTAATCAAATTTCACTGTCTATATTGAATAAGATTTTAGAGATAAATATATTGAAGATATTGGAAATATAAATAGGTAAGTATTATATATAATAAATACTACAACTGATAAACGGCACATGTCTTTTACATATCAAAGATGACTAATATGTAGATTTAATATATGTTGATTATGTTAAACCATCAATGTAAAATGACATTTATAAAATTATGTAATATATCTATATATATCTAATATATCTATACTAATATTACAAAGCTGAAGTGTGTGTTTGTTTGTTTGAACGCGCTAATCTCAGGAACTACTGGTTCGAATTGAAAAATTCTTTTATGTTCCATAGTCCATTTGTCGAAGAAGTCTTTAAGCTATATAACATTTAGCTACGACTAATAAGAGCCAAAGTGCAATGAAAAATATTGCAAAAGGTGGAGAAATGAAACGAAGACCAAGTTGCACGGGCCAGCTAGTAAATATATAATGTAGATATGTCACCTTGGCGTTGAAGTAGAGGAATCCTTGCGGACAGTTGGTGTTGTTGAAGGGCGCGAAGGTTGGTACCGGGGCATCATCAGCCGCCAGCGGGTGAACCCTCAGCTCACCTCGCGCCGGCAGCAGCAGAATATAAGGCGTGGGCCCGCATACGAACACGCCGTTGTACCCGCCCACGTTACCTGCACGCATACTACTCTGTGATGCTCACTTACTTATGTAGGTCTATGTTTATAGTCTGTTTTTTAATCCCGGAGACTAAATTGACATGTGTAAATGTCCAATTTCCAAATAACGTTACCACCTATAGCATATAGGAGTAGTGCCGTAGCTGCGATACCGATTTTTTTTAATCGGAAACTTTTAGAATAGAATAGACTTACGCACGGTACAAACATTTGTATTCTTGAATATACCGGTAATTATACCGGTAAGTGTGATAGAATAAAATAGAATAGAATAGAAAATCATTTCTTCAAATAAACTTAATTTAAGCACTTTTGAATAGTCATAAAATTTTTTTTTATCTACCGCTCATTCGGAAAGCTGTCTCATCACAAGAAGAACGAGCAAGAAACTTATGTGTTGCTCTTTTAAATAATCCTTATAGGTTCACATTTACAAGTCGAAACGTGTGTTTATTTTAACATAGTAGTTTTAAAACTTTAAATGTATTAAGGTAACTCATTGTTTTCTTTCAAACAGCTAAATATTAAAATAGGAATAAATTTTTTGACACATGATACCATATGAAGGTCATTTGTTTTATAAAAAAGACAATTAGTTATTTTAGTGAAAAATAATAAATCTATTTTGATACAAAAACCTACATTTATTATTACTTACACTTTAATAAAGTAATATTATTGCTATATATTTTGTGTTAATACGTTTTAAATAAAGACTCACACATTATTTCTGACAAGTGATAAATTCTTGGTGAATTGATCACGATGGGCCAACTGGCCTGACCTCTTGCTCGTATCATCCTCCACTGGTGCCCTTCCAGCGTAAACCGTTAACGCATACCCATATATCATTCTGTTAGGGAAAATATTTGGAAACGTCTGTCTCGTACCTGTATGGTTCTGCGGATTTCTTAGGCTTCAGGGTCTCGAAGATATCTTCGCTAGCTTTCCAGTTTCACAGTAGGTTTAACACAGTTCTAATTTATTTTAATTCACAACAAAATGCGCGCGCGTCATGGCTGCCGTACGGTCAGTTCAGTACTAGGTAAGGGATGGGAAGGAGAAGCGCGGGAACAGAAACTAACGGACTCTAATATAATAATCTGTGCTTACGATGGTACAGGGTAGATTTTGAACACATTCCATTATCATCCATAAAAAAATACGATACTGACTGAAGTACCGCAGCTGTCGCACGTTCTCCCGCAGCGTGGCCACCTCGTCTCCCTCATCAGGAGTAGTTTGCGTGCGGCCACTGCGGTACCCGAACGGAAACGATACCGGGATGCGGGAGAAGCGCATCTTGAGGTTACCACGCGGGTACTTGTACGCCTGTACAGTGTAGTTGGTAAGGCGTTTATACACTAACATTAATAGCACATAGCTCCGATAAATCGTTGCGATTAGTAATTATTCATATATTTATTGTGTATCGCCTTCTGATATTTATAACGTCATTCCAGATTACCTTGGTCTCTTCTTTTTAGTAAAAAAAATAAAGAATTTTGTCTGGTACGTCTGTAAATATTGGAATTGCGATCATATAAATACTTACAGGTATCTCCTACGTACATATAAACGTGTAATAAATTACAATATTTATAAATATTTATTGTTAAAGTTATCTTTATATAAATTAATATTTTCTACTTAATCTACTCTCGTTGAGCCTTCCTTCTTTTAGTGATTTACATATTTTATTATATTTAATGTATGTTTTTGATATTATATACATATTATTATTAAATATCAACGCATCATAATCTGTGTAATCGTTTAGGAGCTACGATGCCACAGACAGATACGAAACCAGACGTAAATTGCAATAAGCAGCTTGCTCTGTAAGGGTACGGTAACCTATTACTATCACACGTATGCTTGTTTGCCACCATCGCATCGCGAGTGTTACACAACTCTTTATCTATACATATTAAAATTGGAGTTTTCGTTTTTAATATTGAAATAATCGTTTTTTACTACATGCATATGAATATAAATGTGTACCACATTTATATATACACCAAAATAACATTTTTTATAATTTTTGTCTGTCTGTCTGCTTTGTTCCGGCTATTCTCTGAAATAGCTGGACCGATTTTGACGGGACTTTTTTTGGCAGGTAGATGATGTAATAAATGGTGGCAGTGTCAAAAATCACGGAATTCTAGTAACTAATTAATTGTAACTGTAATTTATGAGTTATGAACGGCAAACTGTATAAAAACACACCTGGTATATCATAAGCTGATCATCATCAAACCTCATCAGCAGCAGCACCCTGCTTCCCTTATGCCCGAGCCCGACCACCAGCAGTTCCTTCAGCTTATCCACATCAGGGTTGTGTACCGAACTGTTCAGCTCCTCATCTTCCATGGGATTGGTGATAATTGGAACGGATTCCAGACTGTCTGCTAGGATCCTGTGGCCGGCGCAGACATCCCTCACCAGGAAGCTGAGCCTCATCTCCGGCAGCGAGTATATCTCCAGGTTGCCATTGTTCCGGACAACGAACAGCCAGTACGTGGGTTTGGGTTCCGTCAGGTACTTTTTCCACCAGCGAGACATCCGGCGAGGCACGCCGGGGTTCTTTGATTGTTCCGCTAACATTATCTATATTAAAAAAAATCCAAAGAAAATAATAATAACTCTTTATTGTGCACAGATAAACAAAGAACAAAGTACAATAAAAATATTTTACAAAAGGATATATGATAATTACACAAAAAACTAAGGGAAAAACTAAAAACGTACAAATTTCATAATTCATTTGATACCACAAAAATCTGCTTCTATCTTTAACAAACATGGCTAGGTTATAATTTTTACTAGGTTTTTTAATATCAGGACAATTCCCTTAGCGTCATATTGTCCCAAGGCAGAGGTTGTGTTAGAGGTACTAGACGTTTTACGAAGGCTAATGAAGCTGACCTCATGTTCATCTTTGAATTAATGATAAGTAAGTATAGAAAAACTAAAAACGTACAAAATTACAATTCATAATTCATTTGATACCACAAGAAAATTACTTTAATCTTTAACAAATGTACAAGTTCAATTTTTATTAGGTCTTCAAATAAAATCAATTATCATTTATTCATGTAGGACATTTTAGCCGCTTATGAACATCAAGTGTGTTGTATTAATATGTTTTCCCTAACGTCCAGTTCAGTATACAGATTCATTTGAGAAGGGTTGACAAGAAACTTAGCAATTGAAGGATATTCTTAGTGTCCAGGTAGCGAACATTGGATTGAGCGTGCACAATAGATTTATGGAGGTCGCAGTGCTACAGGTCTTAACATCTGACAATAGCCCAAAACCCAAAAAATAAAAAAAGTATTAATAAAGTCCCCAATAAAGTCTATAGGTATTTATAAAATTCGACCAGGCTGAATTAAATAAATGTGGGATTGGTATGTAACGGAACGATTGTGTTAACTGAATGATGTATGTATGAATTGAAACGTGAATGATGCGAGAATGAATATATAAGTGAAAGGCAAAATAAAAAGTTTCTAGAAAACCGCACTGTGGAAGACCGCCATTCATCCAGATGATCAGGATGGTATTTCAGTTTCTGGCGGGTGGTACGGTGGTGAAACTCAGCAGCTGGTATTAATCCGAACAATTCCTCAGAACACTCCCCGTTATATATGCGGTAGAAAATGCACAGAGATGCAATATGTCGCCGCAAAGGCAATGGGTCGAGTCTGTCACATAGACGTTGATTACCAATGATTCTGGCTGTTCGGTTCTGAATGCGGTCAAATGGAAGTAGTAGAAAGGAAACGAATGAACGAGCGAGTTGAACGCTAGACTGAGGAACAACCAATATTTCTTGCTGATTATTAGTGCTTTCATGTAAATTGTGAAATTAAATTCGTAACGCGCATAAATTCTATTATTTCAATATCTACCGGACTTACATAAATAAAATTGATTATTTATCCAGAAAAAAGTATAGTAATTATGGGACACAGTTACCTAGATACCTACTTTGTAAGACAAATTCAATATTGTCTACTAAGCACTGCTGTGTCTAAACTGTGTCACCCCACCTTACACTTTCCTATTGTTATTTAGTATATAAGATCATTATTTCGATGTACATATTGTCAGTTTATTACCATCTGTAATATACATCGTCTCGACCGGTAACATCGTATCGTTCACCCGCAATAGACTCAATAAATATATATAATACTCACACTGGCCATAGACGCCGGGGTCTGATCGCCGCCGTATAGTAATTCATCCTCGTCATTGAGCTCGTACACGGCACCAGGTTTGAATCCTTCAGCTTTCACATTCTTGCCTTTCTTGCCTGTGAATTCCCCTTTCACCTGTTACATTTGTAATTTTTGTTTCTTTAAAGTGCAATAAAGATGAATAGATAAAGAATAGTAGTAGTTTATAAGTAGATACCTCTGCGGGGTGTCCTGCGGTGAGCAGTCCTCCGAGGTCCGCGTAGGGCGCGGCCCGGGCCAGGCCCGGCCGGGCCGGCACGCCCTGCCGGGTCGGGGCCAGCCGCGCACTCTGACGGTTTACATCCATTACCATACAATACTAATATATAAACGAATACACAAAATCTTTATTTAAATAAACTTTATATAAGCTCGTTTGAATAGTCACATTTTTATTCTACCACATATTCGGAACGCAGACTTATCATAAGAAGAATGAGCGAGAAACTTGATGTTACTCTTTTAAATAAATGTAGTTTTAAGTAGATATATATTAACAAGGATTAAGCACGTGATAATCAACATAGAAACCGCTATGTACTCGATCTTTGTTCAATCGGATAACCACTGTAGGCGCTATGAATTTTAAGTTAGATTTATTCTACAAAAACATAATTATCATTTATAAATTCTTAAATTTTGTAATATGCTTTTTAACTAAGAAAACAAAGAGGCACAATTGATTAATTTCTACTAGAATAGCGCCATCTATTATCGTTGTTGGAAACGTCAAGCGGTTTGCTTGGGTGAGGTCGGTACAGGGTAAAGCAGTTTTAACAGCAATTACGAAACGGGACTTTTGAATTGGGCGCGAGCGTGAGAGGTTGTGCTGCACTCTGTACCGAACTTGCCGCGTTTCCCTGAATAATCCGTTGTCATCTGGCTGATTGTTAGTGATTTTATTATTTTGTTATTTGGAGTGAGTGAATAGACGATTATATTTTGCAATAAGACTATTATTTCTTGCCTACACCATGCCCAACTGATGACGAGGTATCCCAAATAGAGGAACTACCCTCGTTATATTTTATATTACATAAGATATTAAATCTTTTTTCTAGTTAATTAAATACAGACTCTGGCAGTTTGTTGCAAAACCTTACGCAATTACCATAAAACGAATTACTAACTTTCGTCAAACGGCACTTACGAGTAGGTAAAATCAGTTTTTTAATATTCCGTAATCTTTTATTAGTGTAATTCAAATTCAAAATATCTTTATTCATGTAGGTCTATTTATACTCTTATGATATATAAAATTTACCGTCAGTTCCAAATAATTTCAAGATAAGAACAACTGACAAGAAACTCAGGTCGTATTCTTTTTAAATTTAAAAATGACTCATCAGTCCAAAGCTACGAGCCAGTTGTGGTATAGAGCATACATACCATGCCGTCCTTGGCGCGGAACTCCCGCAGCGCCAGTACGAGTGCGCGTCCGCACGAGGAGACCACGCACACGTAGGGGTCTGCAGCCGCAGCAGTCGCCCCCACCCACTCCAGCTGCAGCGTCTGCAGCAGCACGCCGTCTGCACACCACCACACTCACACTCACCACACACTCACCACTCTGTGCCTTGAAGCACGCCTACATACTGCTGCAAGTCTTCATCGCTCTCGCACGCATCGACTGTTCGTCGTAAACTCATTTCCAGACGCCGCCACTCGTGATCTCACTTCCTAACGCTGGCCGATCGTCACGGAATCATGTGCTTCTGCCTTATCTCATTTATTTGAGGTTAATGTAATATGTTTTTCTCTTCCATTCATACCTGCTATGAATTATATTGCACCCACATACCGACTACCAGTTGTCAACTCGCATCCAAACATGAACTATGAGTCAACATTCAACAATATACACACAACATACAAATTAAACCAAAAGCTTATATTTAACATGTTCGAATTTTGAGCACCTGGCTATCACTAATTAATATTATTATTTCAAAACACAGTAAAATTAACTCACTATTAATAAGCCTGATGGCAGCAGTGGTCACTTGCACCATGTACTTGTTGTTCCCGAGGTTACCAGCGAATATGGTGGGCGCGCTCGTCATGAACCCTGAGTTATCTACTTCGTTGATCTCTTGACCGGTTTGGAGGATCTGTTGTACAAAATCTAAATATATACAACTCAAAGGGTGACTGACATAGTGATCTATCAACGCACAGTCCAAACCACTGGACGGATCGGGCTGAAACTTGGTATGCAGGTAGATGTTATGACGTAGGCATCCGCTAAGAAAGGATTTTGATTAATTCTACCCCCAAGGGTAAATAAAAATAAAATAGGGGATGAAGGTTTGTAATTTTTTTCTTTCGGGCTGAGACTTAACATGCATAAAGCTAATATAACATAGGCATCCCCTAAGAAATGATTTTGATAAATTCCACCCCTAAGGGGATAACGAGCGAAGCCGCAGGCAAAAGCTAGTATACATATAAAATATATGAGCTCGGTGGTCTAGCGGTTTAGCAAATCATTTTACTTCCGATGATCGCAGATCCGATTCCTCGTACGGTACAAACATTTGTATTCATGAGTATGATTGTTTGTATCTATCTGGGTGAATTCTATATATATTACTAGCTGTACCGGCAAACGTTGTTTTGCCTTATAATAAAAAAAAAATTTAGGGGTGGACTACCCCGAACATTTAGGAGGATGAAAAATAGATGTTGGCCGATTCTCAGACCTACTCAATACGCTCACAAAATTTCATGAGAATCGGTCAAGCTGTTTCGAAGGAGTATGGGAACGAAAACTGTGACACGAGAATTTTATATATAAGATGTACTTATATGTATGTATGTACCAGTTATGCCCGTAACTTTGTCACAGTGGAATGCATAGAAATCTTGATGATATAAAGAAAAAATATTTAATAATGTAACCCAGAAAAGCCAAAGAAACAGAATTCATCGTTCTATTAGCATTAAAAAAGACGAATTTCCATACAACCTTTTCACCCCTTACAAGCCTTTTTTCGCATTAAAAAGTAACCTATGTCCTTTCTTAGGGTTTAGACTAGCTCTGTACCAAATTTCATTTAAGTCGGTTCAGTAGTTTTGGCACGAAAACGAGCCAGATAGATAAAAAAATACTTTAAATATTTATAAGTTCTCTAGTACTCATAATATAAGCTCTGCTCAGCTTGAGACTAGGTGACGCTGTATGAATTGTCCTCAGATCATTGTTATCAGGTGAGCCGCAAGCTCGTTTGTCTCCTCTGTTATAAATTATAAGCAACTGACCATGGAGGAGTCTTCCTGCGTGAGTATGAGGTACGCGTGCGGAGCTCCCCCGGCCTCCGTCTCGGGCGACGCGCCCCCGGGGCCGCGCACCGTCCACATGTCGATGCAGCCTGGTGGAAACAATTTATATTAATAACTGATCCAGTTCTCTATCCATCTAATAAAGGAGAGATAGATGCGAAGGTTGGCGACGCGTGCCCCGTTCTTGCCGCGGCCCGCGCCGGCCACCAGCTCTACACTGACACTGACACTGACACTGACACTGACACTGACACTGACACTGACACTGACACTGACACTGACCTGGCAGGTTGAAGGCGGTGACGAGGTGCGGTCGCAGGCTCCGCTGCAGCACGCACAGGGCCCCGTTCTTGCCGCGTCCCGCGCCGGCCACCAGCTCTACACTGACACTGACACTGACACTGACACTGACACTGGCAGGTTGAAGGCGGTGACGAGGTGCGGTCGCAGGCTCCGCTGCAGCACGCACAGGGCCCCGTTCTTGCCGCGTCCCGCGCCGGCCACCAGCTCTACACTGACACTGACACTGACACTGACACTGACACTGACCTGGCAGGTTGAAGGCGGTGACGACGTGCGGTCGCAGGCTCCGCTGCAGCACGCACAGAGCCCCGTTCTTGCCGCGTCCCGCGCCGGCCACCAGCTCTACACTGACACTGACACTGACACTGACACTGACACTGACACTGATACTGACCCATACTCGTACTCGGAAACTAACAATGACGCTGACACTGACACTGACACTGACACTGACACTGACACTGACACTGACACTGACACTGACACTGACACTGACACTGACACTGACACTGACACTGACACTGACACTGACCTGGCAGGTTGAAGGCGGTGACGAGGTGCGGTCGCAGGCTCCGCTGCAGCACGCACAGAGCCCCGTTCTTGCCGCGTCCCGCGCCGGCCACCAGCTCTACACTGACACTGACACTGACACTGACACTGACACTGACACTGACCTGGCAGGTTGAAGGCGGTGACGAGGTGCGGTCGCAGGCTCCGCTGCAGCACGCACAGAGCCCCGTTCTTGCCGCGTCCCGCGCCGGCCACCAGCTCTACACTGACACTGACACTGACACTGACACTGACCTGGCAGGTTGAAGGCGGTGACGAGGTGCGGTCGCAGGCTCCGCTGCAGCACGCACAGAGCCCCGTTCTTGCCGCGTCCCGCGCCGGCCACCAGCTCTACACTGACACTGACACTGACACTGACACTGACACTGACACTGACCTGGCAGGTTGAAGGCGGTGACGAGGTGCGGTCGCAGGCTCCGCTGCAGCACGCACAGGGCCCCGTTCTTGCCGCGTCCCGCGCCGGCCACCAGCTCTACACTGACACTGACACTGACACTGACACTGACACTGACACTGACACTGACACTGACCTGGCAGGTTGAAGGCGGTGACGAGGTGCGGTCGCAGGCTCCGCTGCAGCACGCACAGGGCCCCGTTCTTGCCGCGCCCCGCGCCGGCCACCAGCTCCACTCCGCGCGCGGCCGCCAGCGCTGGTTCTCCCATCGACACGGCCCCATATGCAACTGTGGAAGCATCTGCAAATCCATGTAAGTTCAACTCTCTTTCATTTTCTTGGTAAATGAATCGGTGACGAGGTGCGGTCGCAGGCTTCTAAAGGCAGCGATCCGCTGTGTATCACGCTAATTCAGGAGTTGTTTTCTGAAAGAGACAGCGGACAGATGTTCAGGACCGAGTCGCACACCTGCACCGCACCACATACAATACACTCAACTAGGGTTTTATGTTTGAAGTGGACTTTCTATATAGACCGTTTGACTGAATTTAGAAGGGAGTGTAACAGAGAATGCCGATAAGTTGTGCGCTTTTGCCTCAAATTCGACTTTAGACGTCGGGGACATCATATCTAGTACCATCCCATAGTGTTACCACACCATACGGATGTTCAGACATAGTTACCACTCTATGCCGAAAATATCCGTAACACAACGGAAAGTCCGGCGAGAATTACTATCTCTTAACGTCAACAAGTCGAACGGGCCAAATGGCATACGGGCATTGGTCTTAAAGCCAATGCCCGCCTGCTAAGTATACTCCTGAGTCCCGTCCTCACACGGCTCTTCGCGCATTCAGACTCCTCCGGGAAATTTCTGTCATGAAAGACCACCCTTGCATCCTGTGCCAAAAAAGGGCACTTCAAAGTCATCGCAAACCTAACACTTTTTTTATACCACGCAGGTGGCAAATAAGCATACGGCCCATCTGATGCTAAACGGTTACCGTAGCCTATGGACGCCTGAAACACCAGGGGTGTCACATGCGTGTGACCTTTAAGAACCTTAATATACCCTTCTTGAAAAACCCCATGCTGAAGTCTCGTGAGAAAACCTCTGCAGGTAGTTCATTCCACAATCTAAATGTACGCGGGAGGAAGCTCCTCTGAAACCGCAATGTCCGAGACCACTTAAGTTCCAGCGTGTAGGGATGAATTCCCTGGTAAAAGATAGGGCATCATGTCATACAATTCTTCAGAACACAGTCCGTTGTATATTAGATAGAACACACAAAGCGATGGGAAATCTCGCTTCAAGCTAAGTGGCTCGATACCGCCAGAGAGATTGGGATCATCGACAATTCTCATAGCACGTCTCTGAACCGAGTCAAAACGACCGACCTGGTATCCAGGTGCTCCTGCACAAAGATGAAAGCAGTACTCCATGTGCGGCCGAACCTGTGACTTATACAAGAGAAGTCTCTGGTCCGCAGTGAAGTACATCTTCGCTCTATTGAGCACACCGAGCTTTTTGGACGCCAGCTTGACCTTTTCTTAGAGCTGACTATGGAACTCAACTGTACTAGAGATGTCAACTCACAATACTGTTAGAGATGGTAATGGACGTTTTCTGGAATTGCGGAGCCACAGCAAAAGGGGTTTTCTTAGCGGTGAACGCGCAGGCCTGTAGGGTTGAATTGAACTAAGTTCAGTCGCCTCCAATCGGAGACTCTGGTGAGAGTACTCTCAATTTCAGACATAAGCTGTTCACGGTTTGACTCTACAACGGAAAGTGGAATATTAGCACGGCCCGTGTAAAATGCGTCCCCAGTATGTTATCCGCATAACAATGAATGTTAACTGTGGTTAATAGATCATTGACATGCAGTAAAAACAGTGTCGGGGAGAGAACCTTGCAGGACGTCAGCGTTAATGTCCATGCTATCGGAGCAACTACCGGCGACGGTTTTGATGCTTCTGCCAGAAAAAAAACTAGCGACTCATTTGCATAATCTCTCTGGTATTCCGTATGAGGGCAATTTCGATAGAAGACCTAGATGTCAAACTCGATTGAATGGCTTCGCTATGTCAAGGCTAACTGCCAACACCTCACCTTTGCTCTCGATGGCAAGAGCCCAGCGGTGTGTAAGATACACTAAAGGATCACCAGTTGAGCGACTATGGCGGAAGCCTTACTGGCGATCGCTCGTGATCCTCTAGGTATCCAAGGAGCTGTGTATTAATTACAGCTCCATCACCTTGGAGAGTAGAGATGCAATAGCGATAGGCCTATTGTGTTGGGAGGGCACAGCAAGATGTATCTCGATACATCTTGCTCGACTTGGGGCGGCCCGAACTGGCGTAGTACCTCCACCAAGCTAAAAACCACAACCAAATAGTGCGGTACTTGCACTACATAACTGCACTGTGTTCCTGTGGTGAGTAAGGTGACCATAGCCTCGTGGGGATTGGTTGTGCTGGTATTGGTGGACCTGTGTGTTCAACAGTGCCGCGGGATTGGATCCCGCCTACGCAATCTCGTGGTGGCACGGCGTTCGGGGAGACCCGGCAAATTTTTTACCATCGTGCCGCTCGCCATTGAAAGGAAATTTATCCCCACACGTTGGAACCTAAGTGGTTTCGGACAGTGCAGTTTCAGAGGAAAGTCCTCTCTCGTACACTTAGTTTGTGGAATGAATTACATGCCGAGGTTTTGACACTATAGCATAGGGTTTTTCAAGAAGGGTATATTAAAGTTTCTTAAGGGTTAGCAACGCGCGCGTGACACCTCTGGTGTTTCAGGCGTCCAAAGGTTACGATAACCATTTACTATTATATGGGCCGTATGCTTGTTTGCCACCATCGTAGTATAAAAAAAGTGTATTAGGATTTTTCAGTTATGAAAAAGCGTTACTACTTCTACATAATCGATGTTGTTTGTGGTTTTCCACTGGCCCTTACGGGTCTCCGGGTACGGGCCTCGAGCATGAGCTCATTAACCAAGTATACTGGGTGAACCTCCTCAGCGTCGATCATTTTCCCCGGTGTGGCGAAGAAGAGAGAAGAGTAGTGGGACGGTAGTGAATGTATGCCTATTTGTACACAAGGCTACTCAAATCTTCGATACTCTACGATTTTAGTCTCAAAGGAACTACCGCCATATAAATCCATCGGTTCGTACACGAGTCGCCGATACTCGCGACTCGATACTAATGTATATTAGTTATAATATAGTATACTACATCAGTATCGAAGAGTAGCCTTGTGTACGAAAGGGCTTAGTGTCGCTCGCCGGGCCGACTTTGGTCGCCGCCGTGTCGCGAGTGACGTGTTCCCACGACAGAGGCGAGGTCGTGAGTTGCGTCCGGTGTGCGCGCGTGTGCGTTGGACGAGGTCGCGAATTTGCCCATCACTATCTCCGCGACAGAATATCGCGCACGTCCCGCCCGACAATTTGCTCCACCGTGGGGATCTTAAAGTCGCGGCCGATGACGTCATTGCAAACGTACCGTCCGGGATTTACACACAGACAGAGTGGACCTACTGTCTCCCCCACAGTGCCTACCATGGGAGGCGTATATGAGCTACGAACGAATATAGATCTCGTATATCCCTTTATGAACGGGGTGTATTAGAGATTTTTCGGTCACGAAAAAGCTTTACTGTCGCGTGGAGAACTAGTGGCGATGGAGAGAGGACACCGGCAGCAGAGAGCGGTGAGTCCGCTATCGCGTTATGAGTGAAAGAGACTTGTCTGTTGAATTACCCCATGCTGTAGCCTCTATAAAAAACCTCTTTTAATATAATGCGGTTTTACATTATTTGCGGTTACCGCAGATTGAATCAAATACTCATTTTCAAAAGCCGGTTTACAGTAATCGGCACTAAACCTACGCAGTACCATAAATCAATATTTATCTAGGTAAAATCAATATTTAATTACGCGTTTTGAATTGTACATAATACATACATAGGGTACATAGTAGGTACATTTACCTACTATCGCATCTTAAACGCCTGGCTAGAAGTTTCACTTCTACTATGACTATAGATACTATAGAACACACAGTTTTCACACACGTACCTTTTATTAATTCCAATTATCCTTTGAAGAAAAAGTAAAGGAAACTATGCCCATTATCTATGTATATTATATTTGTATTCACAAAAAAATATCATATCAGTTGTCTAGTACCCATAACACAAACTCTGCTTAGTTTGGGACTACATGGAGTTAGGTAAATTATCCAGGGACATTATTGGCGATGGATGCGAGGACAGGACCGATCGTCGTAGAGATCTTTGGGGAAGGTCTTTGTCCAGCAGTGGACACCTTCCAGGCTGAGATGATGATCATGACATTATTGTTATCACTAATAACAATGATGTTCGTGGACAATTACCAGACGATTGAATACTGAACTACCACTTGAGTAATAAATACCTCAAACACGTAGCTGGTGAGCTGTGTGGAGGTCCTGATGTCTGAACCGTACACCTCCAGCTCGTCCTTGTCGCTGATCTCAATGACGTTGGAGGCCACGCAGTCGCTGATGGTGTCCATGCGACGCTTCTTCGCCGCCGGGTCTGTGGGAGCGTCCTTCTGCTGCTGCTGTTCGCTTGATGCTGCCTCTCTTTCTATAACAAAAAAAAAATTATACATCCCTCGTCCAATTCAAACGGGGATCGAAATTACAACGGCCTGAGCTTAAGTTCAAACTTCAAGCGGTGCCCTCAGACTAAAATCGTATCCGTCAGGCGGGAGTTGGCTTTCAGCCGCTCCATAAGTCCTTCCTCTAGTTTGGAGTGTCATCTGCACTCGCCCCCTATCGTCCGGTGAAGCTGTAAAGGCCAGCTGCGGCCAACAGCATTATAGTCCGAAAAACAAATTATAAGAAGGCGCTAAAGCACTCACGAATTAAGGACCCAGGAGTACCCTCACCCGCGGCACGTTTTCTTTGTCTACATTTACATGCACACTCTTTCCCGAGTGAAAGAGCGCCTGGTTGGTTCTACTTCATTTCTTTTATATTTAATCTTAGTACATATTACTTTTAGCATACATTGTGTAAACTAGTGTTTCCCAATGTGGAGCCCATAGAAGCAATTTGATTTTTAAGGGAGGCAATTCGAAAATAGACTATTAAAATTATTGCTATGTCAATATCAATTTTTTGGTATATGTATGTAGTAGTAAATTTACTACTATTTCTTATAAAAATATCTAGTGATTTCTTCCTAAAACTTAATAATTTTCTTAATTTAACAATTCCGAATGTGCGGTATAATAAAAGAAAGTTAACTATGACTATTCAAAAGTGCTTAAATTATGTTTATTTGAATAAATGATTTTCTATTCTATTTTTTAATATTAAAAATATGTATATTACATAATCATAAGAATTTTAGAAAGGCTAAGGTGGGGCTTTGCACTAAAAAGATTGGGAAACACTGGTGTAAATCTTTCGTGTTTTTATATAAATTCTATTCTAACGATATTCCTTAATGGAAGAGGTACCTACCCGCTTCTGTAAGTGTGAGATCAACCGTAGCTTCCAGAGGCTTGTCGACGGAGAACAACATGCGGTTCTCTCGCTCTGTCACTCGCAGCAACAGAGAGTTACCGAGACGGGAAGCCAGGAACAGGAAGTCTTCTTCTATCACGCACATCTGATGGATGAAGTTTTTATGTGAAGGAATTGCTGATCTGACATGGCTTGCTTAAGCCCAACGCTGAATTGTCCAGGGAATTGTTATCTAGACACACGCTAGAGTGCCAAGCCAAGTTCAAGTAACAGAACTGGCGAGCAACACCGTGTGTTCTACAACTAGCCAAATCAGAACTTAGATTACAATATATTATCCTAAGATATAACATGAAATGATATTTTATGTTGCTGTAAATAAATTTCAGGACTGACCATTGAACTTGGCACCCATTTAGATGCCACTTCTTTTGTCGTTGAAGTCAACAACCAAGGCATATATCATATTGAACTTGGCTCTCATTTCACATTTATGTTTTTGGTGGAATTATTATTATATGTTTGTTTGTTGCCTTCACGTAAAGTAGTCAATACCTATATTTTTGGCTACATACCATCAACTTTCAATTCCAGTCAGATAAACCAAAATATCGTTAACCATACCTGTGCAGTGAGTACAGAAGCCGCGGCTCTGTCGAGGTGGAAGCTCCGGACACTCCGGACGGAGTCGGACAGTAACGTCAGCACGTACAGCTCCCCGCCGCGAAGCGACAACGCCAAACGACCTTCACCCAGAGCCGCAACGCAAGCGCCGTCCAGAGTTATGCATACGCCTTCCTGAATTCCTAAATTAAAAATTTAAAAAAAGTATAAGTTTGTGATCTGGATTGCACCACCTAAAAATTATGAACAAACAAGATTAAATATCTCTAACTTTTTCTTACAACATAAAGGAGAAACGAGCTTGCGGCTCATACACCAGGGAAATTGCAAGTGCGTTGCCGGCCTTTTAAGAAGGAATAAGCTCTTTTCTTGAAGGTATCAATATCGTATCGGTTCGGAAATACCATTGCAGGACTGGTCGGGCAATTTTTCCGCAGGGACAAGCTTGCTCATACTGGTCCACCAGGTGGCTGGAGGACATCCTCTACCTTTGCTTTCAGGTAGTCTTAAGACTTTTTTGACCATATAACCCTCGTCACTACGCATTATCGCCCTCTCCGATCGATCCGCTGTCCAATTCTAACGGGATCGATATTACGACGGCCTGAGCCGAGGTTGGAACCCCCTAGTGATGCCCTCAGATTAAAGTCGTATCCGTCAGGCAGGAGTTGGCCTTCAGCCGCTCCATAAGTCCTTCCTTTGGTTTGGAGTGCCATCTGCACTCGCCCGCTATTGTCCAGTGAAGCTGTAAAGGCCAGCTGCGGACCACAGCATTAGAGTAGTCCGAAAGAAAAACTACGCATTACATGGCCATACCACCATGTTTTTTATTGCGTGTTGTATATACCCAAAAGTTATAGGTATTTAAATTAGCAGAATTATATTAATATTTATATATATATATATATATATATATATATATATATTACATTCTGAAAACTAATATGATATGCAATTGTTGTTATCCGATAGAATCGATATCGACTCACGAATTGTAGTGTTAAATTGTGATAAAACCTATGAATTTTCATACTCGATACCCGTTTATGAGTAGTTTAATAATTATCAAATTTTCTTAGTGCGATAATAAGACTGTACTGTAGAATACCATAGACGGCTTTCAGTAAATGTCTGTAATGCGTCCTTTTAAACTGAAATTATTATTATATAGAATTAGTAAAAAAATTACTTAAGTAACTTACTAAGCGGGAAATTCGTGGTGTGTGTAGCGATACTATTTAGTGAAACGCCATACGGTGGTACCGACTGATTTAGATAGATCAGCGAGTTTACTGCCATTATTAAACATCCACCTGAAAATAAATAAAACATGTTATTGATACAAAAGAAAAAATATGTACAATATTATTTAAAAAAAAATATTTATTAATTTATTTATTTTATTTCCACACTTACATCTATTTTTATTAATTGTAGCTTATAATAAATAAAGTGATCTTCGAGAACCTATTCAATAAATAGTGCAGCACTTCATTATATATATCTACTAGCTGTCCCGGCAAACGTTGTTTTGCCTTGAAATAAAATAAAAATTTGGGGGTGGACTACCCCTAACATTTAGGGGGATGAAAAATAGATGTTGGCTGATTCTCAGACCTACTCAATACGCTCACAAAATTTCATGAGAATTGGTCAAGCCGTTTAGGAGGAGTATGGGAACGAAAACTGTGACACGAGAATTTTATATATAAGATATATAAGGAACACCAAACGGTACATACACCAAAATAACATTTTTTACAATTTTTGTCTGTCTGTCTGTCTGATTATTCCGGCTAATCTCTGAAATGGCTGATGAGATTTTTTTGGCAGGTAGCTGATGTAATAAGGAGTAACTTAGGCTACTTTTATTTTAGAAAAAATATAGTTAAATTCCACGCGAACGATGTCGCGGGTACAGCTAATATTAATGATAGAGGATACTTACCAAGTGGCTTCTGTATGGGCACAGCTTGTAAGCAATCGAACGGTAGACCACCAGTGGCCCAAATGACCGGATGTACTCTTGCACTCATATTTAATGACACGCCAGCCATTGCGCACGTGTCGTTACGAACCGCTGTACGTCTGTGGACAGAAATAGAAATAGAAATAGAAATAATCTTTATTCAAATAAACTCATTACAAGCACTTTTGAATAGTCATATTTTGATTCTACCACTCATTCGGAATGCAGATTCATCACAAGAAGAATGAGCAAGAAACTTGTGTGTTGCTCTTTTTAATAGATGTTTTATTTTTATATAAATAATTACAGTGTAATAAGTAAGAGACATGCGACAATCAACATAGAAATCGCTACGCACTCATTATTAGTGTAATCAGATAATATTGTCAGTGCTATGTATTTAAAATTTTTCTACAAAAACATTATTATCGTTAACGAATTCTTCAATTTTATAGTAAGCTTTTTTGCAAAGGAAGTGTTTTATTTGACATTTAAATCTTTTTTCTGGCAGATTTATAACAGACTCTGGTATTTTATTGTAAAACCTTACGCAATTGCCATAAAACGAATTACTAACTTTGGCCAAACGACATTTAGGTAAAATCAGTTTGTTATTGTTACGTAAGCTTTTATTAGTGCAATCACTAACTCTTTTGAAACTGTCTATATTCTTCCTGGCATACATGATATTTTCATAAATATATTGAGAAGCAACGGTGAGGATATTTGATTCCTTAAAGCACTCTACTCTCGCAAAGACTCCCTGGAACCCATGCTATATATGGAGCGAATGGCCCTCTTTTGTAAAACAGATTTATTATTATTATAGTAACTAAAACGGCGAACAAGTTAACTGACAGCTTGATGGCTAGCTACCCATGGTCATGGGTTCGATTCCTCCCACATAGCTTATATATATACATCAGAATAACACAGGCTATAAATTTCACGCGAGTGAAGCCGCCGGTACAGCTAGTATACTAGCTATGTATGTATTTACAAAAAAAAATGATCTATGTATTTCAGTTGTCTAGTGACTGTGAGATGTCTGTGTGAATTGTCCTGATATATTTATTATTATTTTATCAGATTTTTATTTATTCCTTCGAGACTGAGTTTAAGGCTGGCAACCCTGATATAGGAAATAGATATTAAAATTTATTGATTAATTATAAAGCAACCTATCTGTGAAGCCGTTTTGCCAGTCGAGATTTATAAACAAACAATTTTACTTTATTTTAAATGATTTTAATTCTGAAATTCTGCACTGAGTGAATTGTTCAGGATAATCTCCTACTAGCTACTCGCCCCGGCTTCGCCCGGGTGTACATGTACTATATATATGTATATAAACCTTCCTCTAGAATCACTCTATTTAAAAAACCGCTCCAAAATCCGTTGCGTAGTTTTAAAGATTTAAGCATACATAGAGACAGACAGCGATAGCGACTTTGTTTTATACTATGTAATGACTAAGGCAACTAACCTTATATACAAATAATGCACTCACCCAGGGAACGTCCTTACGGGTTCATACAGCAATAATAATGTAGGCTCATAATAACCATGTAGGAACTGTATGTCCAGTACATTGTCTATCTTCTCATCCAAATCTTTGAGCACAATCACATAGGACGCCAGTGTCGGTGCTCGGGCAATTGGTTCAGCGGGCTGTTGCTGAAAATTAGTATTTTGCATGTTAAACACGAAAGTTTGTGAGTATGGATTAATGAATGGATGTTTGTTACTCTATCACACAAAAACTACTCAATGGATTTTGATGAATATAGCTTATACAGCTTAGCTACAGCTCAGCTTAGCATCCTAATAATATTATAAATGCGAAAGTTTATACGTAATGTAATGTAATGTAATGTAGGTTGGACTCCATTTTCCGCAATTGGTCTCATCTGGGCCGTTGTGCGTGTAGAGCCAGGCCACTAAAGTAGCTAGCTAACTAGTATTATTATTAAGAAAAAGAAAAGGATTTGGTATACGGAGAAAAAATTATATTAGGATAGATTGACATATAACAAAATAGAATGAAAGTAACAAACAAGAATCTACAAAAGGAACTATAGATTTTAAATGCAAATTTAGAATATAAAACATTTCTTCATTAGCCAATTACAACACTTACATTTTTCTTATTCTCAACAAATGGTTTGGCCTCTAATGGATCACCATCTTCCGATGTGATATCCTTTCTAAATGGTAACACAGCTAATTTCTTTCCATAGAGTAACATTACCGCACATCTGAATTCTGGGTCCACGCGGATCCATGGGATATGTGGATGTGTAGTCCAGCCACCCTGCAATCATTGAAAACTTATAAAGATTAAATCGGGTCTGGAAAAGAGCAGTACAAATCTGGATTGGAATAATATAAATATTTATATACAATACATATATAAAACATCAGTTTAATACTGTTAGGATGTTGAATAGGATTTAATTAAATCTGAAATGAAGATTAATTGTAATTAGCAAATTAACGGGATGACTGTGAATGTATTAAAAATAAGTTGCAGGTATATAGTCAGTAGTAGTCAGTAAATAAAAAAAAAGTGGAATAAATTGCAGTATTGCTAAATTGCAGTACTTTATAAAAAATCAAGGGTAGAGGAAGGGCCGAAAAAGAGGATGAGGATGGACTGTGTGAAAAAAAGTGGAATAAATTGCAGGTAGATGATATGGTGAATATATTGCAGGTAGTAGTCAGTAGTGAACTAAGTACTAGTACTTTATAAAAAATAAAAAAAAAGTGGAATAAATTGCAGAGATGAATGGAATATATTGCAGAGTAAAAACATATTACAACGAACTAAGTACACAAATAATATGGGTAATAAGTGAAGAAGCAGATATATTGATGATGATGACTTTATAAAAAATAAAAAAAAAGTGGAATATATTGCAGGTAATTGTCAGTAGTGAACCAAATACTAGTACTTTATAAAAAATCAACCTAATCTTATATATAAAATTATTCTTGTCACAAGTTGATACCCCTCTGAAAACGGCTTGACAGATTTTGATGAAATTTTATATACATATTCAGTAGATCTGAGAATAGGTTTATAACTAATTTTTATACACTTAAATGTGGCTCACCCCAAAAATGTATTTTTATTTCTTGGATAAACTTCATTATTTTTTAATGTTGCTAAATGTTCACCTACCATGAACTCCTATTTTTTTAATAGATATTTTAATTTATATGGCACAAGAACATTTCCGGGTTTAGCTACTATAATCTAAAGAAATATTATTTACCTTCATATCATCCTCTTCAAAATAATGCATGCTTAAAGTTATAAGATTGTTTGTTTGTGGATCATACTGCAGTACAGATAGCTTGGCCTCTTTGAACGACACCAGCAGTAGATCTCTGCCAGTGCTTGGACAGTGGACAGATGCCATGGACATCACATTTCCCCACAAAGTGTATGATGCGAGACATTCCAGTTTCATTTTAGGTGGTATTGGTTGACCGGCTGTGAAAAGTATATGTGTCTAAGTGCAAACTGTACTGCAGAAGGATATAGGGTATAGGGGTAGAGGGTTGTAATTGGCACCTGTGCCCCATTACTCCCCCCCCCCCGCCCCCGTCCCCCTCCTCCCCCAACTGTCTTTACATATACCATTCTTACTAATATTATAAATAGAAAGTTTGTGAGTACATATAGGTATTTGTTACTCTTTCACACAAAAACTACTGAACAGATTTTGATGAAATTTTACAGTGACATAACTTATACATCAGAATAACACATAAGCTATAATTTATAAATATATTGTGTAAATTGGGTGATATAAGTGTGATGTAGACGAACAAGGGTGAGCTAGTAGTATAATAACAATATTTATTTTCAATTTATTGCACATTATACATTTCTCTAGTTCCTGTACTAGGTATAGGTACCAGTTTTTTTCTTTTTATCACAGTTATTGGAAAATGAGTAAATAACAAAAGAAATTGGGGTTTACAGTTTTAATTTGTATTTAATCATCAATTATTCCTTCTTAAAATGCCAGCAATACACTTGCAATTCCCCTGGTATTGTGGGTGCTCATGGGCAGCAGTAATCACTTACTATCAAATGAGGTACAAGCTTGTCTGCCCCTATGCTATAAACAAAACATTTTCCTTGCCCTTTTATTCATTCATAACATTTTTGTTACTTCCACTAATCTAGAGGATTTATGTGTATATATTTATGTCACCTATTTAAGGCACCCAAAAGCTTATTTTGCTAGCTAACACAGCTTATGGTTGTAGGGTAAAATATAGCACTAAACATACAGTGTATGTAGACATGACATATTAAACCTACAGAATGGCAATGCAAGTGTACACAAGCGTCAGATAATCTGATATCCATGAAGCTGCTCATATATATAGGCAATGGCTGCCAAATACCTTACAGTGCGACATATTCCTTGTCATTTGGAGACGCATCAAACAAAATAGGTAACTTACCAGCATTGACTTCCTTAGTCGAACCCTCGGGTAATAATCTGAAAACCTTGATAATATTCGTGCCAGCGGTGACCAGGCACACCTCGTCATTGTTAAAGAAACAGCAGCTGACGGCGTGCTCGATACCAGTAGCCGGGTGCGTTTGCCGGCAGATAGAAAACATGATTGAAATGTTTGTTGGCGGCTTCTCTTTTAGGTTAGGAATGTAAACAGCTACCCAATAATCTAATTATTTCAACATTAATAACATATTATATTCACATTATCTCACTGCATTATTAAGACTACCACCAAATATTCACATATATTTTATAATTTGTAGTTTGAACGAGGCCAAAACAATAATAACCAACAAAACGGATGAATACGCTTGCTTGACTGACATTAAGTGACATTTGACTGACAGTATTACACCAAATCAGTAGCACTGACAGTTCTCTGCCAACTTTCTTTTTAATTTTCCAACTTTAAAATAAGTAAACAATCGGTAGACATTTTTTTTTCATTTATATTTTTTGGTGTTGAATATTTTATTTGGATAGATTGTCATTATTAATTATTATTTGACTTAGAGAATTTCAAAAAAATTAACTCAATAAAATTAATAGACAGCCGACCTTTTGTCAAATTAATAACAAAATATATACAGTTTCGAATGGGATAAGGAAGAAGCAAATGATAATAATTAATAAAGCACATTTGAAGAGCTTTTTTTTTAATTTTTTCGCCGTTCCAATCTAAAGGCCAACAACAATCACAATAGGAATTTAAAAAACGAAGTGGCGCTATCTACCGATTGGTATAGCCTCAGTAGCCGTCATTGTTAAGAAATAAAATTTCCCGAGTCGGAAATCGTAGGTACTCATATAATTATAAATGTACTCTGTAGATTGTAACTAATTTAATTTATTACCTAATTATAATGATAAAAAATATTTAAACCTAAACCTATCAGTTGCGTTTGAACTTATATAAGTAGCTACTAGCTACACACAGTTTCATACTATGAACCCGAGAGAACTATCTCAAAAAAACTTTTAATTTCATTTATGAAAACTAATTTGGGAGGCGGGTGTCTTATGGATGACAATGAAATGTTGCACCCGCCTGTGCTAACGGTTTACGCTGGAGGGGCGCCAGTGGAGGATAAGATGAGCATGAGGTCAGGTCAGTTAGCCGCTCGTGGTAAAGCAGGGAGGCAGGTGTCAGTCCTTGAAATTTGCATGTGTATATATTAGGCATTAATTAAAAAAAAAACATGAAACGAAAAATTGTCTATCCCTCTTGTAGGCCAGATGAAATAACCTAAGGCCCTAGGTCTGAAGCTGATTACGCCCATGTATGACAATATTCAGTAAGTTTCATACTATGAACCCGAGAGAACTATCTCAAAAAAACTTTTAATTTCATTTATGAAAACTAATTTCGGGGATGGAAATAGTCAATATTATATAGAGGTTGGATGTTCATTGTAATTACTGGTATTAAGATAAGATTTTGAAAGTTCTTTTGTTGTTAAGTTCGTTTGAAGAAAGATATAGGCTATATAGAATATCATACTACAACAAAAATATAATATCCTGCTTGCGATAAATAAAAATGAAGCTACCATAGACAATTTTGCAGAATCAGGGTACCTACATTTGACGCGGACGAAGCTGCGCGAGTCAGTTAAAAAATAAAACAAAAAAACATTGCTTGCATATACTTTAATTAAACCAGCTACAAAAATGATATGAGCACAATATTTAACATTTCTATGAACTAAATCCAAAAATATACAATATTTTTATAAAGCCTTCTATGGTAAATCATTGCAATCCTCAAAAGCAAAGCAGATAGTAAAAAATACAAAAAAATATTTAATGGTTTTGAATCGGCGCCGGTTCCATTCGCACGTTCCTAACATTTTGTATTCATGAGTATTATTGTTTGTAAGTAAAAATTGTATATAAGTCTTTCAATCAACACAATCTTTTTTTATAGCATAGGAGACAAATGAGCTAACGTTCACCTGGTGGTATTAGGAAGGAATGAGCTCCTTTCTTGAAGGGTTCAATATCGTATCGATACGTAAACACTATTGCTGGAAGGTGATTCCAAAAAGTGTTGTGCGTGGCAAAAAGATACTGGTAAAACGCACTATGGCATAGGGAACAAACGAGCTTGCGTATTAGGAAGGAAGTAAGGTCCTTTCTTGAAGGGTTATCCTATCGGGGGGTGTAAGGGAAATATCGTATCGTTATTGGAAATACGGTGGAGGACGCTCTACTTAGCATGGAACTATATGGCGCTCTGTAAATTGTCCTTGTAGTGTATGTGGAAACACTAGCAGTTTATTATCTATCGTCTCGAGCCGAGCGTACACGGACCGCCGTGCGCAAGAGGGAAGAGATTCCCTGCGCAAGCGCCGCGGAGTAAAGACGTGGAGCTATGGCTAACGAGCCGATATTACGTCGATAACAACTTACATACAAGAAGACATAAATAACAAATAAGTGAACACTATAGTCCTTAGCTATTATTATTTCATAAAAACTAATAATATACTATATTTTTAGCCATGGAGATGTTAAAGTTTATTTAAGTAACTATTTAAAGTTCTTCCAAAGCGATACCGCGAAACCAATGGTATAACCTTAAAAAAAACTGCTTCTTCAGAGAATTGCAACGATTTTCCATAAATCCTGTACATACACTACTATAGTGGCACACTTCTCTCTATAAGGCCAGTTACGTTATTTAATTTACCTACTCAAATGCCTTGAAAATAAATCACCAAAAAATAGTACCTTAAAAAAATCTTTAACACATTTTAATGTATAACAACATGGGCGTATACAGGGATAGGGAGGCGGGTGTCTTATGGATGACAATGAAATGTTGCACCCGCCTGTGCTAACGGTTTACGCTGGAGGGGCGCCAGTGGAGGATAAGATGAGCATGAGGTCAGGTCAGTTAGCCGCTCGTGATAAATCAGGGAGGCAGGTGTCAGTCCTTGAAATTTGCATGTGTATATATTATGCATTAATTAAAAAAAAAACATGAAACGAAAAATTGTCTATCCCTCTTGTAGGCCAGATGAAATAACCTAAGGCCCTAGGTCTGAAGCTGATTACGCCCATGTATGACAATATATTCATTGGGAGTCCTATAAAAAAATATAGTAGAGCTTTTAAGTTATAGACGGGAACAAACATACATATATAAATATACCTTTAAGACTACATTGCAGGCAACGGCGGATCCAGGGGGGGATCATGGGGGTCATGACCCTCTGAGCTGATTCCAGGACTTAGGCGGACCACTAATTGAACATAATGATTTTATTTATATATTTTGATACCATACCGATTATATGTAACTATACCTTAAATTTTTAATTAATTTAATATAATATAAAAACTTTATACATTATTAAAATACCTAATTTTTACTTGTATCTATTGTTATCAAAATTAAATTATAAGTTCTTGACTTGACCACGACTATGTGGCCCCTTCCTGGCGCCTAAGCTGGATCCGCCCTTGATTGCAGGTGGGGTAATCAGAGACAATGTAAATTGTCCATGTCGTGATGAACGAAACATTTCGCTCGGTATATATGAATGCATCGTGAAGGAATTTCCTTGCGGCCGCTCGCGATTAATTTCGCTTGTTATCGGTGTTTCCATCACCGGAAAGACAGTTGGTAATACAAATTTATAAAGTTTATTTTTCTGTCAATCAGTTGGTCTACTTATAAATTGGGGTAGTAAGTCTGTCTTAATCAACAACAAACGATAAAAAAGAATGTATACATTTGAATTTTAAAAAAATCATGGGTTTATTTGTTACCAGAAAAAAATAAATTTTGATAAATCGATATTGCAAAGATATTATTTTAAAGTCGAGTTACAAATATATGTAATTTTTCAAGTAATTCAGTTCTTTTTTTCGGCCTACTCTAATGCTGTTGGCCGCAGCTGGTCTTTACAGCTTCACCGGACGATAGGGTGCGAGTGCAGATGGGACTCCAAACCGCGAAAGTACTTATGGAGCCGCTGTAGGCCAACTCCCGCCTGGCGGATATGACTAGTCTGAGGGCACCACTAGGTGTTCGAACCTCGACTCAGGCCTTTGTAATTTCGATCCCCGTTTGAATTGGACGGGGGATTGCTCGGAGGGGATTACAAAAAAAATATATATCTAAGTATTTATATCAGTTGTCTAGTACCTATAACTCAAGCTCTGCTTACCGTGGGACTAGATGGCACTGTTAATTTTCCAGGGTTATTTAGTTATTATACCCTTAATGCAATACTGCATTCATCAAAGAATATATAAATTTTGAGAATACGATTTTGAAAAAAAATTATTATTAAAATCAAGTTGAAATATTGGTAATATTTCAGGTAATTTCAGTACTGTATAAGGACGTGTATTCACAAAATAGAGGTTGCTAACAAACTGATTTAATAATCCGACAAACAGTGGACGCAGACATCCCTTAATGACTTAACTATTATTGATAAAACTTTTATTATCGAAGAAACTTAAGAAATCTGTGTTTCTGTAGTGACGGGTCGAAAATACCATAAATATCCACAATATCCACATTTATTTGTATATTTGTGCATGGAACTATCAGTAAATAAACATGGAAATGAACGGTTATACATTTGAATATCGCAGTTTTTACAACTTCCCACCTCTCAACAAAAACAACAAAAAATACATGTCGAAAGCTATCCAATAGATATGGTATACAAAATATAATTTTCTTTCTTTCTTCATTCTTTCTTTTGATCAGTCTCAAAAATATGTACCATTTGTTCCAATTTCGAATAAAAAATCAATATTGAATAAATTTTTACATTGAATCACAATTTACCAAGTCAAGTATACACAAAATAGTCAAACACAAAACCTTCTCTTTGAAGTCGGTTAAAATGTACAGTATAATAAAAATGTCAGTTCAATAAAATAGATTAGGGTTTCCATTTTAATGTTTACATATAGGAAATATGTAAAAAAGAGAACATATATTTTGTTTTAATGCAGATTATACATATAACTGTTATATATAAAAACAGCTGTATTGATTGTGATGAAAATATCACAGAATATAAGGTTAAATATGAGTTAACATACAGACTATAGAAGGTTGAAGCAATCACCCTAAAAAAAGGGTTAGATTGTTTTTCAAAACCATCTATAATAAGGAAAATTGTCGTCTAGTTTAGTCTATTGAACAATAGATGGCGTGAAAAATAAATTTACGACTTACGTAATATCTTTTCAAATTTATACACGAGGGCGCTAATTAAGGTAGTTGTAAATAAATATTAATAATTATATGGCAATAATTCTCGAATTACTATAACAGAATAATCAAAAATATACTGGTATAAATATATTTATAGCATTTAAGAAATGTCTCTACTTGAAAGTAATAAAGTAAAAACTTTGACATCAAAGGATTCGTTATAGTGCCTATTTGTAAATTTCATATAAATAAAAAAAATCAATTTTCTCTAAGAATTAGCAGTAAATTCACTTCTATCTCACAAGCGTGACTTGTACATGAAATAAGAAACATATTAAGATATTTATGACACTGTAAGCATATAATTCAAACATACTATTTACAGCTCTATATATATAGGAATAAATCACAAATTCTTTTACATACTAGCAGCGGCGTAACATTATCATCTGAGACCTGTGCCTAATACATCTGATCCATGGGACCCGTGGGTCCCGTTCTTTGTTTAAATAATGTTCATAGTGTACTTTCCCAAATTAATTAAATACAATTTGATCTTCGTAATTCTTACGGCCTTGGAACGGAACATTGAAAAGAGGTTACTTAATGTGAATTGTGAAACAGCTTTTTAGCCGTTTTTAAATCATCAGATGTTTAACAGTTGATGGGATGTCAATGCAAGTTTTGAATATTTCAATATACTTATAGCATCCATATTATTAATTCCACTACTGGATGCAAGAGAGTTCAGTTCTGTAAGTGTGAAATATTTCATAAACTTACAGCATACATAGAAAAAGCTATAATAGTCATTGTAGATGCAAATTTTTAAATTAAACTTTCACACTATGTAACATTTCTATTTTAAAATCTTATGGCAACACTTTGCTTTTGGAGTAATCGGTCTGTGCTATTTTGCTATTTTGTTCGTTCTGGTACCCCACTGTTAACGCTGTTAACGCCACTGCTTACTACAAACAAAGGAAATTTAGAGTGACTATACATAATGATTATTAGAGAACTAATCAATCAGTGATCATATAAAGCTGCCTTTACATCTGTAAGTTTTTCTCATTTATATACCTCACGTGATTAAGGTAAATTCCATTTATAAATACATTAATATAACCAAATATTACCCCAGCTAGTGTGGTCAAAAGCTCAACTGTTAACCATTGGCATCAATGTTATTGCAATAATTAAGATGCCCACTATTTAGTGTGTATATTTATAGATGTCTGTATCAAATATTGATGTTTGTATTAAAAGTTAGTTAGAAATATATATCAACACACAAAGTATATTTAGTGTTGGCCTCTTGGAAACAATGCTAAGGTCCAAGCTAAAGTAACAAACTTACAAATGTAAAGATACCCAAATAAATAGTAAAATAAAAACATGTTCCAAACAGAGTTAACTAAACCGTAATCATTCCATACTGTACATCAGTCTTAAAACAGTTCTCCTGGAACATCCCTGTTAGTTCCCACTCCACTCAGCCGACCTGCACATATCTGCTAATAGTTCATCAAATTCATTAAGCGAACTTTCGTATAGCTCCAAATCCTTAGAAAGATCTTCATTAGCATTATCTGCTTCTTCTTTCACCGATTCTTCGCTTCTCGACTTTGAACGTATCAAGTCATCAGCTAGTTTCAAATGTGGGGCGTTAAAGAAGTCTTTATAGAACTCTGCCAACTCCCTAATAGGGTGATTGTCGGCGAAAGGGAAGCACAAAAGTTTTAACGGTGGCTCATTCTCGCTACGAATGCCGGAGAACTTCTTTGGCGGCATTTCGGACGACGTCGGACTTTTCGAGATAAGAGCAACATCCAAATCTTGAGTGCTTTTAGATTCAACAGGACTCTCCTTTGCCGGAATTTTCGGTCTGAACTGTAGACATCCCCTCGGCACTGGTATCCTGTGTAGAAAGTCTTTAAAAGTCTTCTCGACCAGTGATTCATCAACAAACGCGGCGAGGCGCAATGGTTTATTAAGGTCTATAGGTCTGATAAGTTTCTTCTCTTTATCTTTGTGTTCCTTCTTCTTTTTCGATTCAAATATGACGTGTTTCGGGCTTAGTTCAAAGTGGTCACTCTTCAGTAATAGAATCCCAGTGTTGTCACACTTATTTGGTGATATAGAGAAGTTAGTTCTGTACGTGACAGAAAAACTGATACCACCTAAAGGTGTTTTGAGCATGGCAGCTTGCATTTTCTTCACTGATGTCCCTAAAGCTTTAACTTTTGGTTCCCCATTGTATACTCTGTAGAAAATGGTGAACGATTCGGATCGTTGCTTCCTGGACAAGTGGTAAGCTGGGGTCATACGCGTGATAGTAATCAGAGACTTGAGAAGGATCCCCATTCTGAAGTAAACTGTGTTCATTGCTTTTAAAGATGTGTCGAATTGTGTTTCGTCCAGTTCCAAAGTCCATAATTCAAGTACCATTTCGTCGCCATCTTCTGTTTGTACTGATATTTCGACGTGCAATTGTGATCTAATAGTCTCTAAGACTTTGTCTGAAGGTAATGCATTTTTTGTAGCTTGATTAACCTCTGGAGAGTCAGGTATTTGTAAATTAAACCAACCAGAGTCTGAAGATATGGGTTTGCTATTTGGCTCTATTTTTACTCCCTTTCTGGACTCTACTATCACTTGTACCCCTTTGTATGCTAGGAACTTTGTAAATTTAGTGAATTCGTTCTTGTCGCTTATGTTAGTGAATGCTGCGTCCGGCGCCATGATGGATTACTATAATGACTGAAAGTACAATTACTTGTTTAGTATACCGGTTACTCCTCGTCAGCGATGCAGTTCTCGACGAGATTTCTCAGATTAGGATTCTCCATCGCAGCTGCAATCCGTTCCTTGTCATTGATTTGTTTGTTAACTGAAACAAAAAATATATTTTGTGACATTACACAATAAATTATACTGACAATTACAGATATGTTCTTTTACATATATCATATGTGTATGACAAAATGGCTTTTAAAACAAAATTAATTAGGTATAGTATAGGATTTAAAATACAATTACAATTGAATGTATATAGTTAAGATACCTATATCAGGCTTTTAGACATTACAGAACTGGTTAAGAAATTCGTCTCTACCTGAAAAGACTTATCTTGTGAAGGGAACATACTAATCCTATATAGCATGGTTGCTGTTCGAATAGAAAGGTAAAAATTTGCAACCTATCCATATTATAGGCATAAGCTCATTACTTAATCAAATTAAATAATTACAAAGGTAGTTAGGAAACACTTTTTGAAATAGGCATTAATCAAGTTCTAATAATACATAATTAGGTTTTAATGAATAAGTATTCATTAAAATAGTGCAAAGAGAGTGATGTCATGAGACATCACTGAAACTCAAATTCAACATTATTTATTAAGATACGACGTAGGACCTCTGATGCATGTCCAAAACTTCACCAATTTTGATGGATTCTTAATTAATGTATTGTATAATTGCTTGGCCATTATCATTTGTGAGATTGCAGATATTCAGTGCGGAGACCTGACCGCCAATTTGAGAAAAAAAAACTGGAGTAGATCATAATATGTAAACTCATATTATTTAAACTAGATAAATATGCCAAATTAATAAGACAATGAACAGATAGTTGGTTCAACTGTGTCAACATGATAAGGCATTTGATTGTAGTGTTTATAACATAATAAGTACATTAAATTCAATAAATCAGGGCTTCCCAAACTGTGCGTCATGACGCCCAGGGCGTCACCGCGTTGACTCAAGGGTGTCGAGTGTCTATGCGACATTGGGACTGAGTCTTCACCTTAACCAACCAGTTACGTAAATATCTCTTATTATTTTTGTGCTCATGTTTTGATTTCGCACTAATTTTCTAATAAAAATTATAAATGATCAAATAGTATTTCTCTGTTAATCTATTACTAGACTAGTACTAAAATTGGTATGTATTTTTGGGGGCTGGTTTGAGGAGTTTCGCAAAAAAATAGCAAAGTCCCAAAGGTGTCACATTACGAATAAGTTTGGGAAGCTCTGCAATAAGATATACTTATTTTGCAGGCTTTATACAAAATCATGTGTGTGAGAACCAATACCGTCTTTACCATAAGGGCACACAGGGACCGAAGGAATGACAATTTTCCTCACACATTTATTCTCAAAAGATTTTTGTCGGGTACACTACACCTTTTTCACAAATCAGTAATGTTGTTGTTCTTATACCTTTTTTTTTACAAAAGGGTTCCATATTATTGTGTGCCCAAGGGGCCCAGCCTAGTTTAAGACAGAGGTGGTGAGAACCCAAGGTAAGACATTTGAGATAAAGCTCTGTTCAAATATTTCTACTACCTGTATCTTGCATTGTTAACTATATTCAACTGGAAGGAAGAGGATTGTTAGTAATGTGGTCTGTTGACCCTATTGCTAGCAATGTACCATGTCAAGTTGACCTTCATGTGGTTCCCCTTGGGACCAACCATCATGATAAATTCCTGGTGAATATGTGATAGCTAACTGACCTGACCTAATACTCATCTTATCATCCACAACTGGTGCCCCACCAGCGTATACCGTTAGCCCAGGCAGGTGCACTATTCTATTATCATTATATATAACTCCACTCTTTAAGTCAGGAGAAAAAACTGTGGTAGGTAATTATAGGCCTATATCTATCTTACCAGTATTGAGTAAAGTGTTTGAAAAAATTATGCTCAATCAAATGCTACAACACTTTAAAGTAAATAAACTGCTTCACAGTCGACAATTTGGTTTCACGGCCGGTAAATCAACTACTGATGCCGATGTAGCTCTCATTAAATATATATTTGATTCTTGGGAGAGGTCTCAGGATGCAGTCGGTGTATTTTGCGATCTTTCAAAAGCATTTGATTGCGTTGAACATGAAACACTTTTGCTCAAACTTGAACATTACGGTATTAGATATGAAGCACAAAGCATGATGAAATCCTATCTAAATAATAGAATGCAAGTTGTCGAAATAAATGGTGTAAGGTCTGAAGGAACTAGTATTAAAATGGGTGTTCCTCAGGGCTCTATTTTAGGTCCTTTCTTATTTTTAGTTTACATAAATGATCTTCCTTATATGGTAGAAAAGATAGCTGACATAGTTCTGTTTGCTGATGATACTTCATTAGTATTCAAAGTCAATCGACATATTGATGATTTGGACGAAGTAAACGGTGCTCTTTCTTATGTTTTAAAATGGTTTACGGCTAATAATATGTTACTAAATGCAAATAAAACTAAATGTATCAAATTTACTCTCCCCAATGTAAGGCCGGTAGATTCAAAAATCATGTTGGACAATAAACCTATTAATTTTGTGGATGATACTGTATTTCTAGGTATCACATTAGATTCTAAGTTGCAATGGGGTGCCCATATTACTAAATTAGCGAGTCGACTTAGTTCTGCCGCTCATGCGGTAAGAAGAATTAGACAATTAACAGATGTGGCAACGGCTAAACTTGTGTACTTTAGCTATTTCCATAGCATTATGTCGTATGGTATTTTGTTATGGGGCAAAGCAGCTGATATAAATACAATATTTATTTTACAAAAGAGGGCCATTCGCTCCATTTATAGCATGGGTTCCAGGGAGTCTTTGCGAGAGTGCTTTAAGGAGTCAAATATCCTCACCGTTGCTTCTCAATATATTTATGAAAACATCATGTATGCCAGGAAGAATATAGACAGTTTCAAAAGAGTTAGTGATTGCACTAATAAAAGCTTACGTAACAATAACAAACTGATTTTACCTAAATGTCGTTTGGCTAAAGTTAGTAATTCGTTTTATGGCAATTGCGTAAGGTTTTACAATAAAATACCAGAGTCTGTTATAAATCTGCCAGAAAAAAGATTTAAATGTCAAATAAAACACTTCCTTTGCAAAAAAGCTTACTATAAAATTGAAGAATTCGTTAACGATAATAATGTTTTTGTAGAAAAATTTTAAATACATAGCACTGACAATATTATCTGATTACACTAATAATGAGTGCGTAGCGATTTCTATGTTGATTGTCGCATGCCTCTTACTTGTTACACTGTAATTATTTATATAAAAAAAACATCTATCAAAAAGAGCAACACACAAGTTTCTTGCTCATTCTTCTTGTGATGAATCTGCATTCCGAATGAGTGGTAGAATCAAAATATGACTATTCAAAAGTGCTTGTAATGAGTTTATTTGAATAAAGATTATTTCTATTTCTATTTCTATTTCATTCATAAAAAAAACTGTATTCAGCTTGTAATGTAGGTTGGACTCCATTTTCCGCAATTGGCCACTCATTTGGGCCGTTGTGTGTGTAGAGCCAGGCTACTAAAGTAGCCAGCCAAGCTCCTTACCTAGCTTAAAAGGGTTATAGAAGCAATATATAAGGGTATGGACGCAATTGTCTTACTTCTTCAGAAATATCAAGACATTGTGATATTGAAATCTAAGGTTGAATTGAATGTTTGGATGTTCCACTCTAATCTGCAACAAAGTGAGTCCTGCTCTACAACACCTACAGGACGGATTGGTCCGCCACTGGAGTCACGGTAGAATACTAACGCGATCCTGTGACTCCGGCAATGGCGACTCTGAGATATACCGTGTAGTTTTTAGTGAGTAAAAATACCACACACTCTACCTGTTGTTCTTATGGCGGGTGGATAGTCTTTGGAAGATATTCTACACGTAAAAAAGGGCTTATTTTAGCTGTACAGAAAAACGAATACAGATATACATAACAGCTAATCAAATGATATGATAAATTCCGACTTACTTTCATCTTCTGTTGTGTGTGCCCCTTTCTTGATGAATATATCCAATTTAACGGGGTGATGAAGGGACCGCTGTATCTTAATCCTAATGCACAGTCCTATGAGCGTCGCCAGAGAACAATGAGGCACTGTAGGATTGTACTCCACTCGCAAAACAGGCACTTTGTCTTCAGTTGGCTCTTTTACAAAAATACCGTCCTCATAAATAACTTTTAAATCCTCAAGTGTACTCGGCTTTTCTGGGTCCCTTATGGTCCGCAAAAAGTCTAAAACATCACAACACGTATTATTAAACACAAAAAAGCAGTCTTATAGCCCAAAACCACTGGTAATTACTAAAACAAACCGTAAATTGTTTCTCTTAAGTCATTCTCGTCATTATACCCGAGCTCCTGTAATGTTGCACTTTTGTCCATATAAGCTGGCTTAGCGAATTCGATGGGAGATTTTACGGTGTTATTCAATGAAAGCTTCGAAAAGAAAGATATCATATCGTTGAAATTGTACTTTGTTATTTACGTGAAGCAATGACGAAAGGTAGACATATTTGTTTGTTATATTACCATTCATTCAAATTCATACAATTAATCTGAATCAGCCAGTCAAAGTCCAATCCAGTCACGATCTATTACGTATGGTATTATTTGATTGGTAACAATGTACTATCTTGATATTTTTGCCAATGTCAAACACGTAACATTGATAACATTCATTCAGCATAGGTAAGAATGTATTTCAACTACTTCATAGAAGTTCAATTCCATGTTGCCAACTATATCATCTTAAGGGCTAGTTTAATCTTCATTTAGCCCAATAATAAATTTAATTAACACAAAGAATATAACTTTAAACAATTTGTCATTATGTTGAACATACCATAAAAATAGACTTGTAGAATTTTTTGTCTGTTAAAACTCCTGAATTTCGAAGATTTAATTAACAAACCATTTTGTAGTTGTCACCTTATTTATTTTAATTTTTATTTATTCATACTTTAAGGGTTCAGATATTTCCCTAAAGTGTCAAAATTACTACATTTACTAGAATCAGGATTTATTTAATCTGTGGAATGAAACTAACCTTATTTTAATATTACTTTACGTACATATTTATTTATTATAATATTATATATTCTCCCAGTGATATTTGAGGCGTCCATAGGCTACGCTAACCGTTTACCATCATATGGGCCGTATGTTTGATTGTCATCGTCATAGTTTAAAAAGTAAGTTTAATACAGTTCAGCCTGAAAACATTAATTGAAACTGGCAACATTAACTATATTTCCTTTTTTTCTTGTCAAGCAACATGGCGGATCAGGTAAGTTTTGATTATCCATAAAAAATAATTAATAATTGAAGAACATTTTGTATAATTCGTAATAATAAATATTAGTAATCTACAATAATATATTAGTAATAAAATCATGTGAATTTAAAGTGTTACATAGTGAAAATGTGGCGTCCAGAATCACGCACGTGGAGTGGGTATTCAACTTATTTTCAGCTTCAAAATTACTATAATATACGCATATATTAAATTATAGTACAACTAAACTACCAAATAATGTGTTCTACGAATAGAGACCCATTAATGGAAGCGTTCAGTTTGTCTGTTTTTAGGTTATATATTATACGTTTGTTTCAGTCATAATTATGTATAAATGTTAGTTATTACCTGCCTTATGGCATTAAATTTACTTCACGTAATTTCTTGAATATTCTCACTTGATACTGGTAATTTTGTTTGCTGTATTTTCATTAGTTAGGTGTAATTCACTCTGTCTATCCCATAATTAATACAGGGTACTATATTGAATATGCATAAATGTATATTAATATTGTAGATTTTATTACATTTTTTTAATTATATATCTACGCTAAAAATTAATATGATAAGATTGTTTTTGAAAATGCGCCAAACTAATTTTATTTGCCCTATGTTTGATGTGGAGAAAATTCCTCTCATAAATTTCATTGTTTGATATATGCCTTTATTTATACATTAAAATATTATTTCAATACATAAATATGTAGTTAGCAAATATAAAAACAATAGAAATATAATAACAGTAGCAAATAGTAACTTAGATTTAAGGATTTTACTAATGAGGGTTGAAAATTGCAGACGGAACGTTCATTCCAAAAGCAACCAACTGTATTCTTGAACCGTAAGAAGGGAATCGGTGTGAAACGCAGCCGCAAACCGTTGAGGTACCACAAAGATGTGGGCCTAGGTTTCAAAACGCCACGAGAGGTAACTGCATGATGAGTGGTATTAACATGTGTGTTTTCTTCCGTAGACAGAGAAAGCGTTTCAGAAACAGGCCACGGTGTTCCTCAACCGGAAGGGGGGGATGAAGAAGAAGGATACCAGGCATCATAAGAATGTCGGTCTAGGTTTCAAGACACCACGTGAGGTCGGTTCTCTTTTACAGAGGTGACGGCTGGGACGCTGTATTGGTGGTGGCTACGTTGCTATGTTCTGCTAGGTTATGCTTCATTATGGGATTCCATTATTCATATATTTTTGTATTGTATGACTTTGTTTATGGAGAACAATATGGGCATTATAAGTATTTGAAAAGAATACATAAAATAATTTTAGAAAATTATTACTAAAAAAGTTCTTTAACAATTAAAGTGAAGGCTTCATTATTATTTACACATTTTTTAGTTTTTGTTAAAAAAAAATAGTTAACATTTTTTAGTTATTGTTTAAACATTCAAATTATATTTTTTTTATTATCAGTATATATTTACATTTCTCATTTTGACTGTATTTTCAGAGAAAATTTAAATTGTAAATTTAGCTTATGTATTTGCTTAAATTTTGTTCATAAACTCAAGTCACCTATATATTTAGGTCACATCAGGGTCTGGATACAATAGATTCATCATTAACAGTTTTTAAAATATGACACTAATGACTAGAAAGGCCAACAAACTGATGGACAATCTATAGGAGAGTGATAACCATTATTTCTAACCCAAAACCATATTTTATTTATTTAAACTATTAAAAATTTATACAATTAATGCTTAATGCTAATAGCATACTCTACCAGCCAACCTTAGGCAGGGCAGAGATACTCGAAGGTGGATAGTTTACTAAGTAGGCATGCATTTACTGCAAATGGAAATATAAAAATAACCTTACAACATTTATGAATGTCTAAAGGTATTTTTATATTTATTTTTAAAAGTACTTAAATTTAAAAGGTATAAATAGCAGCATTAATAATCAATGTAGGTTTGAAGTAAAATAATAGAGCATAGAGACAACAAATTAGTCCTCATGAAAAGCAATATTCAAGGGATGATACAGGCATCAGACTATACATTATCTGTGGCTAATGGTTACTACATTTACTCTAGTGAACTGTCAATTTGCTTGGCATTTCTATATTTAAAAAACTGCATGCTTACTGATTATTTCTGTGGATTTCCATCGGCTTTCCTTCATGGGATTGGTATTCTCATTTGTGGTGGTTTGGTACATTATAAACCCCTATTATAGTCTGTGGATATAACTAAAACCATGGTAAAGTGGAACCAGTCTTCATTTTTATATTGTTGAAACATTTTATGTATTAGAACTTGCATGTGATCAACATTCAATGAGCTTGCCTTTGCATATTTTCCATTACATTAATATTAATATTTTGATGAATTTATTATTATATTTTAGTCGTTAGGGAAAAAAATATTAATAAAAAAGAATTGATATTTATAAGTGGCTGAAATGTCCTACACGAACATTTTATTTCTGAATTTAATTATAATTCTATCAAAATATTTCTATTAATTTCTCCATTCTACTCTTCTCTTTAACATCATTTTTATTTATTATATATGAATTAAAATATACATCACGGGTTTTGCATGTGGATAAAATAATATCTAAAATTGTTATGTTCAACTATACAGGAGTTTGTGATAATAACATTGATTATTTATTCTTCTGGGTCATAAGATGGGTATGCTCATGAAGGACAACAGAAGGGGCAAAGATTGCAGGTTTTTTCATGTCTCATTTATAATTATATTCTAACACAGTCTTCAGGGAGAGACAGCCTCCCTGCCCTGGGTACGTCCTAGTTGTCATCCTAACATATAATATTAGTTACATTAATTTTGTGATAACAACAGATAGTTTACTGCAATTTTTTATGTTATACTTAAAAATCAAATTAAGAATTTAATGAGTTACTGGACTGTGAAATGATGATAACCACACGACGGTCTTCTGATTACTATCTGATGAAGAACGTGCTCTAACCCAAACTCTGATCGCAGTCCAATTCTTCTCCGCAATTCTTTATTTTACCAGATTTTAAAAGGAGGTAGCGATCGCTACGATTTCTCTGCATATTCTCCAATTCTTTTTGGGCATTCATGAATATTCTTTTAATGTTACTCACGTATTGCTCTATTACTTGTTTCATAAATATATATACTATAATAAAATAATTTTGAGCCAGTTTAAAAAAATAAACTGAAATAATTTCAGATACGTGTAACATATATTACGAAATATTTACAAATCGAAAGCTTCCTTATTTTAAATTGTATATATACAAAATTGCAGTGTAATTTTAAATGTACAAACCTTGCAGGCAATGTTCGGACAGGGACAGATTCTATATATTTTTATCTATCTATCAGAATAAAACAGCAATGCATGCTAACAACAAGGTGTCGGGAAATTTCATGTGACTAACAATTTTGTCCATCGCGAACATAATGTACGTCGGACCTAAACCCTTCAATTAAATCTGTGCTCACATCATTAGATTCCAGATGACGGCTTTCGATTGGCTCATTTCCAAATTGGGCGAGGCATACCAACCAATTGACCAATCGAACGGCGTTCTCGCCACGGGCCATCCACACTTATTGGAAATATACGGTGACCCTTACTTCCACAGGCAATCGAAGGCACGTACATCGACAAGAAGTGCCCATTCACCGGTAACGTGTCGATCCGTGGCCGCATCCTGACTGGCGTCGTGCAGAAGATGAAGATGCAGAGGACGATCGTGATCAGACGCGACTACCTTCACTACCTGCCCAAGTATAACAGATTCGAGAAACGCCACAGGAATATGTCTGTACATCTGTCGCCTTGCTTCAGGTGGGTTTTTTATTATATGGTGATATTCTGTCACTCGTACTAAGCTATCCATATATTAAATGAGTAATTTATAAAGTTGAAACTGGTGGTACGCGTCAATTTCCGCCTTTTAATATGATTGAGTGCAATGATGACTTCCTCATCCGTCATACTCGAGAACAGATGCTACTTTTGGTGACTGGTCTGTTTGAATTATGGCCTGATTAGTTTATACGCTGTTTAAAAATAGACATATGTCGGTAGCCACACTATTACATTTGTGTTTAAAAATGAATCTGTACTGTTAAAATATCACGTACAAGCTCATTTCAAAATAACTCGATTTCTTGTCAGTTGTTCTGAGCTCGAAAGCACTCGTGAGCTGATGGTAGATATGACAGATTATAAGAGTCTGGAATAGAGTTATATTTAGATTTGATGATTATTTTGTTAGTTAATTTTGGGTATTTATGGAATTCACCAGAAATCAATTACGATGGTTTACTAGAATGCTAATGGCCTATGAAAGGGCTAAGTGTCGACTATTCACAATATATTAGTAGTATATAGTAAAAACATATGTACCGATTATTATGATTACTTAGCACAGCAAAATACATAAATGATGATACCCACACGACGGTCTTCTGACCACAACTTGACGAAAAACGTGTTTTAACCCAAACTCTGATTTTTATTATTATAATAATTATACCTGCAGAGTATTTAATAATACATTTTCGTTAATATCCTAACCTAATGTCGTTACAGAGACGTGGAACTTGGTGACATCGTGACCATTGGTGAATGCCGGCCGCTATCCAAGACTGTACGATTCAACGTACTCAAAGTCTCCAAGGGTAAAGGCTCGAAGAAGTCCTTCAAAAAATTCTAATATAATAAAGTTACTTTATAAGTATAAAGTGTTTTTGTTTTAATCCTATCTACCGGTACTAAAGTCCTGTAGATACCGGTACTAAAGTCCTGTAGATACCGGTACTAAAGTCCTGTAGATATTTATTTTCTTTGAAATTTCTATAAATACTTCTTTAGTCCCTTCATTACGTAGTATAAATTCGCTGTCTGTCCCTATGTATGTCTAAATCTTTAAAACTACGCAACGCATTTTGTTGCGGTTTCTTTTAATAGAAAGAGTGATTCTAGAGGATGCTTTATATGTATAATAATACATGTACGCCCGTACGAAGCCGAGGCGAGTAGCTAGTATTACATATTAAAAACGCACTTGGTTCGATTAGTGTATACATAGCACCAAAATATCTAATTTAATTGACTGCAAAGCGATTGACTAGCCATTAACAATCAAGACTTGATAAAATAATATTGCATCCTTTGTTTTATCTAATATGTATATGTATATGTACCGCGCGATCGGGCAAAGGAAGCACTCCAAAAGAAATATCTCGTTTTGCAACATTTAAAATTCATAGCTTCTGTTGGCATTTGTTTTCTTCAAATAAAATTAATTTCATTTCACTCAGCTTGGTGCGTAATGAATGAATGAAATGGATAATATGACTAATATGTTATACCTCCATACGTACATAGTGCTACAGAACAACGGGATGTAATTCAATCTAATTCCATAAATATCCATCTGCTAATTGTTAACCTCGGTGGTCTAGCCGTTTAGCACACTGCCTTACTTCCGATCGTCGTCGCGGATTCAATTCCTCGCACACTACATTTATATTCATGAGTATGATTGTGTCGATCTGAGTATTTTCTATGTATATAATGTATGTATTTACAAAATATATATATTTATGTATTTGTATCAGTTATCTAGTACACATAACACAAGCATTGATTAGCTTAACCGGGGTCTAGATGGCGTTGTGTGAATTGTCCTAACATTATCATAATTAAAAAGCTTAAAAAATATATAATATGATGACTAAAATATATTATTAAAAGGGGTCCCTTTAGGCAACGTTCCGAAGATAATGGCAGCGTTCCATCTTTGAATAGCTAGACAAATTCTTTGTCCAAGGTAGCTGTCAGCTCTTCGGTCTTCTGTGATGTGATTACAATAGACTTAAAATTGCAATCAGAGTTTAAAGCATTCAATTAAACAAACACTGTTTATAAAATTACTATTCAAACGAAATATAAAGTAATATTTAACTGCATATATTATTCTATTTTAGCACCATATTGCAGAACATGAAAAATTACGTTACCTGTGGTATTACTTTGTAATATCATCTTATCTGTGGTATAACAATACACACTGAAAGGAAATTTCCAAGGCCGTAAAACTGTAAAAAAAAACCAAAACAAGGCATTGATGAATGGTGCAGCTGTCAAACAACAAATGTCAATTGTACAAAATAATTGTCAATTCGATTGTCATAGCAGAATTGTTATGAAAAAATTGAAAAATATTCATACGGTTTAATTTTTCTTAATTCCATAATTTATCTATGCTTTTTCTTATATTGTGTTTATTATATTAATTATTTATTTATGAATGGAGTGATTACATTCTTATTGGCGTGTTAATTTGTTTTTGATGCACGTACAAACGTTAGGCATGTTTGTGCACGAACTGCCAATGTTTGTCGCGATAAATAATATTCGTTGATTTGAAAATGGAAGAAGTGAGGCAGTTGGTGCAGGAAGAAGGCAGAGAAGCCAGGAACTTAGTTGCGTTCCATGTCGCTGTGGATTCACCAGGTATTTATAACACTATTTAAAAAAAAAACTGATCAGGAGCCGTGGGCGTATGGTCGTTTTCCGAGGACAACGGATTTAGTAATTATTACTGGTATAAATATTTACTGGTTCAATTCGCTGCTCATAACGCATTTTATAAAATATATTAATTATTTATACAAATAAACCTAATGTAAATATTTTTAAGCAGTAATTATTGTAATACTACCTCCATATTCAAAATCTTTAGCTGAGAAAAATCAGCAAAATAAAAATTACTTTTTATAAACAAAAGTTCTGTATTTTTTAATGTTTTAAGTTTTTGTGGTAATACAAAGTATCAATACTATAAAATTATGGTTCTATAATATTCAAAGTATTATTTAAAGAATAAGTACTTAATTGTATATTAATATTATACCATCTGAAGTAAGGTATAATATATTAATTGTATATTATACTTACTTATAGTCGCGGGTTTGATTCTTCGCACTGTACAAACATTTGTATTCATGAGTATGATTGTTTGTACCGGTCTGGGTATTTTACATGTATAATATGTATACTTACAAAAAAAACATCTATGTATTTGTATTAGTTGTCTAGTACCCATAACACAAGCTATAGGTAGCTGGTTGTTGGCCTTTTAAAAAGGAATAAGCTCTATCTTTAAGGTTTCAATATCATATCGGTTCGGAAATACCATTGCTGGAAGGTGATTCCACAATGTGGTTGAGCGTCGCAAAAAGTTTGTAGGAAACCGCAATGTGGAGGACCGCCATTCATCTAGATGATCAGGATGGTATTTTAGTTTCTGGCGCATGGTACAGTGGTGAACCTCAGCAGCTGGTATTAATCCGAACAATTCCTCAGAACACTCCCCATTATATATGCAGTAGAAAATGCACAGAGATATAATATCTCGCTGCAAAGCCAATAGGTTGAGTCTGCCACATAGATGTTGATTACCAATGATTCTGACTGCTCGGTTCTGAATGCGGTCAAATGGAAGTAGCTGGTATTGTGGTGCTCCCGCCCAGAGATGAGAACAGTATTCCATATGCTGTCGGATCTGCGCCTTGTATAATTGCAAGCTATGGGCCTCCGTGAAATACTGTCTCACTCTACTGAGCACACCAAGCTTTTTTGAGGCTATTTTAGCCTTGTCCTCCAAATGACCGCAAAACTGAACGTCACTGGATTTATCAACGCCAAAGACCTCGAGATTTGGCTTCACATCAAGGAGAGTGTCTTGAAACTGAGGAGATACAATAAATGGATTCTTTTTAGCGGTAAACGCGCAAACTTGTGTCTTCTTGGGGTTGAATTGAACACAATTTTCCTGACCCCAAACCGAAACTTGATGGAGTGAAGTTTCGATTTCGGACACAAGTTCATTACGGTACTCTATAACTTTTGCCTGCGACATATTAGCATGGCCGCTGTACAAGGCATCTCCGGTACTGTCATCCGCATAGCAATGAATGTTGTTGATTTGTAACATGTCATTGATATGCAGAAGGAACAGAGTCGGAGATAGCACACAACCTTGTGGAACACCAGCATTCACAGAGTGCTCCGAGCAAGGACAACGATCTTGATGCTCCGATCAGGGAGAAAGCTGGTGACCCATTTGCATAACTTCGGTGACCCATTTGCATAACTTCGCAGGCAACCCTTACTTACTCCTTATTACATCAGCTACCTGCCAAAAAAAGTCCCGTCAAAATCGGTCCAGCCATTTCAGAGATTAGCCTGAACAAACAGACAGACAGACAAACATTGTAAAAAATGTTATTTTGGTGTATGTACCATATTTACATTCATATGCATGTGGTAAAACACGGCTATTTCAATATTACAAACAGACACTCCAATTTTATTTATATGTATAGATGTACAAACAGCAATCGGTTACATATTTAAAATATATATTTATTACATGAGCTTATTAGTAGGATATTAGTATATAGGATAAAAGATTTTATTCATTAAATAGAAATAGAAATAATCTTTATTCAAATAAACTTAATATAAGCAATTTTGAATAGTCAAGTTTATTTTATTCTACCACATTACTTTGAAAAAAGGATGTATATTAGTTTTGTAATATTTGTAGATTTTATTTGTATTGCGAACTTTGTGTGGCCATTTTGCATCTGAAATGGTATGGTGCCATGCGAAATTAGTTTATTATACTATATAGAAATTTGTAGAGAAAATACTTGAATACATGATACATAAAAATTACAATATTTAGTTTCTTCTAGTAACTATATTCATCAGGAAACATATTTCTTGATTATAAACCAATATTTAGTTTAAAGACTATTAAAAAGTTAATACTATTATATACTTTAAAATGTATTCTTTTGCTCCTTCCATTCATTCGGAATGCAGAGTCATCACAAGATGAAGGATCTTCTTGTGTGTTGTGTGAAGCATGCATTCTGAATGTGTACAGTAAAAAAATATGATGATTTAAGATTATTATGTTCAATGTTCAGTCAGAGACTATGAACAGATGTGGTGTAGGTGTTACGTCGCGGGTAGAGAGTGATTCCCAGCAGAATCATCGTCTCTTTTGGGAAATTGTCGCTATATGCCATTTTATTTAAATAAAATTACTAGCTAAATTTGCGATTATAACTATTATTTGTTCTTAGTTAACTATATTATTCTATTTGGAAATATATTAATATGAATACTAGTATTCTTTATTGTATAACATGGGTGTGAAACATGGTCTAAGACCATAATAATAATAGAGAATAAAAAAATAATAGAGACAAAATACTTTATTATTGTATTAGTATATATTTTGGGATGGGTTTTCCATAAATGTGAATCCCTTTTATTTTATATAAAGAATATACGAATTTCATCAGCCGTTCCATCTTAGGAGGAATACAACAACTTGTATCTAAAAGCTTCAGGGTATTTTTTTTGTGGATGTTAATAGAGTTATGCACAAGTTTGCTCTAACGGTCGGTCTTGGTCTAATGCAGTCGGAACACCAGTGCGGGATGATAAAATAGTATGAGGTCAGGTCAGTTAGCCCATCGTTTAATTTATCTGGAATTAATCACAATGGTTTTCAGGGAGAACCACGTGGAGTTCAACCTTACAGAGTAGGCTTTTTAGGCATTACGCTAGCGATGGAGTTATCAGTTCACATTACTAACAGTCCCCTTTCCCCCGCTTCGGTTGCAATAACCGCGGTCACGAGCTGAGGATCGGCAATGTAAATAATGTGTAGTAGCGATAACACGAGGTGTGGTCACGGCGCGGTGTGCAGGGCGCGCGGCGCGGCGCCGGCCCCGGGCGGGCGGTGCGAGCGCGCGGGCGGGCGCGGTGCGGGCGGCGCGCCGCTCGGCCTCCGCGGGCCGCGACAAGCGCTCCGAGCTGCGCGCGCGCTACTGGGCGCTCCTCTTCGGGGACCTCTCGCGCGCCGTACGTACCCGTACTTCTCCTTACCTACCTTTACACGATTTCACGCGCGCTTTACACGAAACGTTCCTTCGCCTGCGATCAGGGGCACCCGCGATTTAGCACGGGAAAGCCAGCGCGCGTAATTGTGTGTGATCGCAATTTACTATATTTTGTGATCGCTCTAGCCCGAAAGTCATTTCAATTTCTTTTAAACTTTGAGTTTTTATTCCACATATTTTATTTTCCAATGACACGTTTATCAATATCATAATGTATCTGTATATATATGTGTATGTAGTGTTATCTATCATAATGTCTTTGCTATATAGTCTAATGTCCTTTATTTTGCAATGTTAAATAGTTATTAAAATGCGCTAAAGCACTCACAATTGAAGGACACAGGAATGCGTGATCTGGCAGCCCCCGTGATCTTTCTCGTTCTCTTTATCTACATTTACATAAATATTCTTTACTGCGTTCAATGCTGCTGTGCTGATTCCTGTGTGCAAGAGCATACGAGCAAAAGGACCTGTACCTGTAAACATATTTCCTACTCTATGCATGCATATGCATGGTGCATCACATAACAGTACCTTCGAAGTCCAAATGGTTTATACTTTGTGTTATATCTTATGGATATAGCTTATCCATAATATATAACACATTACTATAAAGTTTCATTAAAATCAGTTTAGTAGTTATTGTGTAAAAGTTTCGCGTTTATAACAAGATATAGATGTTTGCTTTATATCTTGTGAAGTTTGTACAGGTCTTATATTCCACTTACTATAGTTTCCTAGTGCCACGAAGATGTATTTTTATTTACTCTGCTAATAGCATCACCAGTCAAAATTTTTGATATAGTTATTAATTTTCATCATATATATTACGATATCTTTAATTTATAGATGGGTGAAATTTACAACACTGTTGAAGCACATGAAAATCTAAGCGAGTGCCAAGAAGTCATACTAGTACTAGAAAATTACACTAGGGATTTTAAAGCTTTAGGCGAATGGTTCCGTTTAAAATGGGAGTACGACAATACACCACCTCCACAGAGACCCCAGAGTTTAGCTTGGGAGATAAGAAAGACTGATTTTGTACGTCCAGAATCTAGACGTACTTATTCTGTAAAGAGTTCCCCGTCAGTGTCCGGAAAAAATAGTCCGTGTCTATCAGGCCACAACACGCCTAGTGGCAAAAATAGTCCAAGTTTGACTGGCAAAGCTAGTCCAGGCAGCGGCAAAATCAGTCCTAGGGTCTCTTCGGGTCATTCCAGTACCAGTCCTAAAGCGAATGTAGAATTCTTTAGTAATAAAATAGCAGCATCAAAAATGACAACAAAACCAGAGCCTAAGGCAGCTAAAGATTGTTTAAGACTTTCCGATATTAAAGAAAAAGATGGTACTATACCTGAATTTGATGCTGTAGAGAGACCTTTAGTGGTACAAACCGACGATAAACATGAGTCAAGATTATCACCTATTATTGAGTTAGGGAAAGCCAAAGAATACCCGAATATATGCCCTAAGCAGGTCATTATTAAATCGCCTAAACATGCAACAGATATCTCTCAAGTTATTAAACCTGATCTGAAAAATAAATCTTCGGCAAATGACATTGTAACTAAACTAAACGCGATGGAGACACAATTTTTACAAAATCATCTAATTGAAAATCGAGCTAAAAATGATAACATGTTAAACAAAGATACTGAAATATCAACTCTTACTAGTAATGACAATCCTGACGACTTTGTTCAAGCCAGTAAAGATTTTTCTCAGGTTTCGGACAAAATATCGGTTGATGAAAAGGAAAGTAGTACAATTGAGTCGCCTACTAAATCTGAGGATAACTTTGCTGATGTATCCAATGAAAGCTCGAACAAATCCAACGATGACAAGCTTTCAGATGTTGAGGTAGTAAAACTAACAAAAACAAATGAGATTGCATCTACTGTATCAAAAATTGGGAGCAGTGAATCTGAACGCAGGAAAGAAGTTACTAATGAAGAGATCCAATCGGTGACCCCTATATTAGCCGCGAATAATGAAATTAAAGATATTACAAAAACTAACAATATTATGGAAGTTACTAGAGAAAACCAAATAAAAGAAACTGAAAATATTGCCATTCCTAAAAATAAAGATGATTCTAAAAAAGACCATGATAAGAAACCAGAATTAAGGAATGGTACCGAAACAAAGCCAATTACAAGACCTGCGTATTCTCAAGCAGCTGCCAAACCTAAGCCTGTCAGTATAAAACCTGAAGTGAAAGCTCCAACTAAAAGTGCTCCTCTGTCTAGAAGTAAGACTGTTGTTGAAATGCGGTCTAGTTCTGTTTCAAAAACATCAAGACAATATCCCATAAGAAACCAGACTAGCAAGTGCAGTTATCCATTCAATTTGACGACGGGTAGAACTAGTGTCTTTGATACAGCTTCTTCTAATACCACGAAAAGTACAGTGCCAAAAAAAACGATTAAAAATATGCAGTTGGGTTCAGGTGACAATAAATTTAATCAAAACAGAGTAGATATTAGAAAACGACTACCGAGACCGAATACTCTGAAGATTAATGAAAAAGGGGACAAAAAAGAAAAAATAAATGTTACATTAGAAAACATTAAAGATTTTGATGAGTATGGAAGTTCGGATTCTGTAGTTACTCAGATTGATATGTCAAGAATTGAGTCGAGTGAAAGTCTGAAGACGTTGGTACCAGAAGAATTACAAATGATAGAGGACGTAGCCAATTCAATTGAAGTACTCAACGTCGATAATAATAAAAATGATAATGATGGTTGGTTGACTGTTAAATCCAGAAAACTGAGTCGTGAGTCAAAGAAGCAATCTAAATCACATTGGACGAACAGGTATCATCAACCTTCCGCTACAACTAGTTTGCCCACATTAAATATGCTTGAATCGCCAAAACAGGAAGTAAAGCCAATAGTAGATTCTCCTAAAAATGCCAAATTAGATCGAGCTAAATCCGAACAACCCTCAATAGATATAAAACCCGAAAAAGTTACTGTCATAAAGAAAATAAATGTTGAATCTAAAATAAACGATACCGCTATTATTAGACAAAAATCAGATGTCACGGGTTTAAGAACTCGAAAATCTAGAAATAAAGCTTTTACAAAGAGATCAAACAACATACAAGATGATGATAAAGAAGACGAATCTTTGGAATTGACGAAAAATAGACTTCATTCGTCTTTAGAGAGTCTAACAATGGGCCTCTCAAGGTCTCAGGAGAGCACGGAAGAAATATTTGATTTTGACAAATGGAAAGCTGAATTTAAATCTACATTTAAGTTCTTGGAAGAGGATGATCAGATACCTAATCATAATGAGATATTAAAAGCTGCGGATCCATCTGAAATGTCTGAAATAGCAGAGATGACGTCTCAGATAGAGGAGAATGAAAAAAAGATCAGTTGGGCTTTAGATTTCCAGTCAGAAGTTGATCAGAGAAAGTTATGCGAAGAGGAAGAAATATTAAACAGACAAATAATGGCATTGCAACAAGTTTCCGATATAGATTTGGATACCGAAACTGACGATACTGAGGTGGGTTATTTGTTACTTGTACTACTTGCAATGTCTATTTTTCTAAAACATTGTTAACAATTATGGAGAAGCATTTGAAAAAAAAAAAAAAACATTTTAGTAACATGAATTTTAAGATCTATCTAATAATAATAACTAACGCTAGTTATTATATTAGCAATCAGTGTTACTAATGATTTAATATATCAAATTTGGATTTACAACTTTATTTGGTTTGAGAATTTATAAATGGTGTCATTTACATATTCTGTATTTATTCTTCTCAAACAGACGGATGCTGAAATTTTATGTGAAGAAACGAGTATTTCGCATCAAAACTGTAATTCACCTGAGAACTTAGGCTCACTGGCAGCAAGTTTGGAAGACCAATACGAAACTGCTCTTGAGGGCATGTCCTGGGCAGAGAGAGTCGATACCCTGGTGGTTCTAGAAGCACTCGTGGCTAGAGATCCGGGTTAGTATCAGAAATTTATTTACATATTGTGTTCTTAGTATGTCTACAATGATTCTTTTCGCAATTGTATTTTATTAAAATTTCACATAAAGCATAATACTTCCGGGACTGAGACATTATTTAAACTGTTAACTGAGGAGTTGTTAATAAAATAGGATCACTCTATTTTATAGATAGCTCACTTCACTGTTAGCGCATAGATTTAAATAATTAGCACTTCCTTGGTGCGGTTTTTGTTATATGCTTAAGAATTATAATTTAATTAATGCGGAACAATATTTGGAAACCAAGAAAATTTGTTAGGGCGTGCTCAACAATTACACGCAAAGCTGTCACAAGGCATAAAGCGACGTGGAAGCTTCCAAGACGCCTTGCGGCGGCTGCAAGCTAAGCAGGCTCGCGCAGAGCGGCAACGGCTCGAGTATCAGACCGAAAGGGCTAAGAAGATACACCAGCTACTTGCCCGGGTCGAAGAGGTTAAGGTATGACTCTACAGTTAAATTAATTTCTTCATAGATTATGTTGTTGAAATTATTTTGTATTAATTAGCTCTGAAAAACTTTTCAAGGAAAACGGAAAGAAGGGTTTGTATGTTAACCCTTTTTTCCGCGATTATGGCTTTTTTGTACTTTCCATGAAGATATCCAATAGGTGTGATAAAATGTGTATATAAATCAGTAATTTTAGATTTTTGAAAAAGCTTGTATTATTGAAAAAACATCAACAGATTGCCAAAAATCAACTGATAGAAGAAAAACGTTTGAGAATGGAGAGACGCATGCAAAAGGCAACCGAGAACCGTGACCAACGGATAAAGGTGAGGTATATTGTTTTTTAATATTACTTTAAACTGTAAATAGGACGTTAGATTTTGTAATATTTAGAGTCCTTTAAATACTCATATAATAGGAGATATTCTAGAAGACGTGTAAATCACAGTGTATTGAACCAAGAATTAAGACATTGCTTTAAGATACTGATGTACTACAGATATTTTATTTGAAGCTCTAAATACAGGTATACTTACAGCACGAGTTAATGAAGTCTTTTTCAAGAATTCGCTAAGCGGCCAGCTGAAACATATAACGACAAACATATATCGTATCAATTCTATATAACTAGTTTTAATTATTTCACATTTTTAGGACATAGTCCGGAAAGCGCATGACGAGGAAGAGAAGCTTCGCGAGATCGCGTTCATTAAACAGTTAGAGGCGGAGAATCGTCGTCATGAGTTCTTAGAGCAGTGTCGCACGCACACTACACGCCTGCGCTGCATGCGTCGTGACCGTCTTCTAAAGCTGGTAAGTATCGGCATCGGATATCCTGGCTCGAAGATTTGATTAAATTTGATGTTCCCTATACTTTCTTGTATATTTGATCATTTTTCAAGTAAAGAAAGTAAGCGATCAGTCTTCATAGTCAGTTCATGTAAACTTTCAGCAGAAACGATAGCATTAGTGTCATTTGCGAATATAACTACACTGGCACAAATTCAACCAATGATTGGTTGAATTTGTAATAAAATGGCCCAAATCAATGGTAAATAAAACATGTAAAATAGGCCCTAGAATTGAACCTTGTGGCACACCTCATTTATTAATAAATATTTCGAAAGTGGCCTCTAAATCGGGAGAGACGAAGAATATTTGCCGTCTGCTACCTATTTACCAGGTGTAGAAGTATGAAACCGGAATTTTCCTATAGATGGTGCTCGCTATCAGTTTAAAGACTATAAGACCGCTTCTGTAGCTTCATCTTCTTCCTCTAACAGCTGTTTAACAAGTTTGTCAACATAGAATAACCCAAGTTTCATGTACCGGTATATTTTTCCATAACTTCAAACATGTTTAGTTTTGTGCCTACGAATTATGATTTGCATTGGTTTTCTACTATCATTTGAAGAAAACTGCTGCAGAATCGCATAGAATGCTTGTCGAAGCATACGGTTAACATGCTCTTGGCAAAATTCAATGCTTTGAGCGGTTTAAAAAAATTATAAGTGGTGATTTTGACGTGGGAAACGAGGAGCAACCACCGAAAAAGTTCGAAGACAAGGACTTGGAAGGTTTATTAGATGAAGACGGTACTCAAACTCTACAAGACCTCGCGGAACAATTAAATGTGACGCAAAAAGCAATATCTCTTCGTCTGAAAGCTATGGGAAAGATTCAGAAAGTGGGAAAATGGGTACCACACGAACTGAACGAGAGGCAGCAAGAAAATCGAAAAACTACTTGCCAAATGCTGCTCGTCAGATGTAAAAGAAAATCATTCTTCATCGAATAGTGACAGGTGATGAAAAGTGGATATATTTCCCATAACTAATGGGTGATTCCAGGCGAAATATCAACATCCACTGCAAGACCAAATCGTTTTGGAAAGAAAACAATGCTATGTGTTTGGTGGGATCAAAAGAGTATAATATATTATGAGCTACTAAAACCTGGTGAAACCGTTAACACTGATCGCTACTAACAACAAATGATCGACTTAAATCGAGCAATATTTGAAAAACGACCGGAATATGGGAAAAGACAGTACAAAGTAATTTTGCTTCATGATAATGCCCTCTCACACACAGCAAAACGGGTCACAAATTTTATCGAGGCGTGCAATTGGGAAATATAAGTGCATGCGTCTTATTCTCCAGATTTGGCTCCATCTGATTACCATTTATTCGCATCATTAGGACATGCACTTGCTGAACAACACTTCGATTCGTATGAAAATGTACGAAAATGGCTCGACAACTGGTTCGCTTCAAAGGAAGGGTTTTTTTGGCGTGGCATTCATAACCTGTGGAAGAGGTGGGAAAAATGTATAAATTCCAATGGATCCTACTCATAACCTGTGGAAGAGGTGGGAAAAATGTATAAATTCCAATGGATCCTACTTTGAATAAAATAACTTTTAAAATTGTCAAAATACAAATGTGTAATTTTTCCAAAAAAAATCCGGTTTCATACTTCTACACTTATGTAAATATCGCAACTTTTAAATCGTACTTTTCTTCTTCGGAACCGGTATAGTGTAGCGAGGTCTGTCGCGTTAGCGCTGGTAGTTTTAATTTCTGCAATGTGTGACGTCGGCGGCTCGCAGGAACAGAAAGCGGCGCGAGAAGCGGCCGTCGGAGCGCGGCGACAAGCGCTGGAGGCCGCGCGGAGGCTGCGCGTGCAGTCCATGCTCGAGCGGCGCCAGGAGCGGGACGCGCGCCGCCACCAGCTGCGGGAGCTGCGCCGCCTGCAGCGCGGACACGCCGCGCGCGAGAAGGTACCGCCCGCACCCTGCACCCTGCACCCTGCACCCTGCACCCTGCACCCTGCAGTCCATGCTCGAGCGGCGCCAGGAGCGGGACGCGCGCCGCCACCAGCTGCGGGAGCTGCGCCGCCTGCAGCGCGGACACGCCGCGCGCGAGAAGGTACCGCCCGCACCCTGCACCCTGCACCCTGCACCCTGCACCCTGCACCCTGCACCCTGCAGTCCATGCTCGAGCGGCGCCAGGAGCGGGACGCGCGCCGCCACCAGCTGAGGGAGCTGCGCCGCCTGCAGCGCGCCCCGCCGCGCGCGAGAAGGTACCGCCCGCACCCTGCACCCTGCACCCTGCACCCTGCACCCTGCACCCTGCACCCTGCAGTCCATGCTCGAGCGGCGCCAGGAGCGGGACGCGCGCCGCCACCAGCTGCGGGAGCTGCGCCGCCTGCAGCGCGGACACGCCGCGCGCGAGAAGGTACCGCCCGCACCCTGCACCCTGCACCCTGCACCCTGCACCCTGCACCCTGCAGTCCATGCTCGAGCGGCGCCAGGAGCGGGACGCGCGCCGCCACCAGCTGCGGGAGCTGCGCCGCCTGCAGCGCGGACACGCCGCGCGCGAGAAGGTACCGCCCGCACCCTGCACCCTGCACCCTGCACCCTGCACCCTGCACCCTGCAGTCCATGCTCGAGCGGCGCCAGGAGCGGGACGCGTTCGAATACATTTATCCAATGAATATGTAGTAAACTTTGCCTGTTATATTTCACATCCAATTTGTTTTTATTTCAACAGGCTGAAGGTGTAAAATCACGTCTCTCAGCATTAGCGGCGGCCGCGGAAATGGAAGCTGATGGAGCAGCGCGGACACGCCGCGCGCGAGAAGGTGATGCGTTGAGGGCGCCAGGAGCGGGACGCGCGCCGCCACCAGCTGCGGGAGCTGCGCCGCCTGCAGCGCGGACACGCCGCGCGCGAGAAGGTACCGCCCGCACCCTGCACCCTGCACCCTGCACCCTGCACCCTGCAGTCTCGTATACGGAATAAGCAAGACGCCAGTCAGCAGCGTCTGGAGTCTCATCTGCAGGCCATTAGGGAGAAGGCCACTGGACCCAGACAGGCGGTAAGTGTCCGCATTAACGCCAAATTATCACGCGACTACAACGAACATTGACTTTGCAGAGATACACTTTACACAGATAGTTTACAGAAATATTACAATGATGATTGACTTTACAGAGATTTTACAATGATGATTGATTTTACATAATAATAATATCTCAGGACAATTCACAGAACGCCATCTAGTCCCAAGCTAAGCAGAGCTTGTGTTTTGGGTACTAGATATAAATACATGGATGCATTTGTTTTTGTAAATAAATACATATTATACATAGAAAACACCCAGACCAATACAAACAATCATACTCATGAATAGAAATGTTTGTACCGTGTGTGGAATCGAACCCGCGACCATCGGATAGTAATGCGGTATACTAAAGCACTAGACCACAGAGAGGAGTCAAGACTCGCCTATTTAGTATATTAGTAATATTTATATCAATAGTCTAATACCCATAACACACGCTCTCCTTACCGTGGTGGATATGAAATTTCGGATACGGATAGGTTTCGGATATAGTAATGATTATTATACTCGATACAGATAAGGATATGAAATTATTTCGGATTATCCGTTAGTTTCGGATAATTTCGGTTACGGATATTATTTTTTTAAGAAATTTCAAAAGTAAAATACAAATTGCTATAAAAATGATTTTGTAATGTGTACTATCCGATACTATCCGACACTTATTTCAGATTCGGTTACGGTTACGGATATTTTTTCATATCGGATATCCGATAGTTTCGGTTACGGTTTTGAAGTTCAGGGATATTTAATATTATTATTATTGTATTTTAATTGTAATACTATCTTCAGGGTGTTTTGTTACATATTTTTATTTGGGTCCCAACGTAAGGTTCTATATAGTGTCTTATCACTTTCAAATAAATTAATATTAATATTTTAGACGATATCAGAGAGTCAAGATCAGGGCAATAAAGAAGAGAGAGAAGAGGAAGAAGCAAGAAGGCTAGAGGCGGAAAAGAAGGAGCGCGAAAAGCAGAAGGCCATTAAGAGGAAAGCCAGAAAGATTAAGCAGAAATTATTGGCCACGTGAGTTTATAGAAAAAATCTTTTGTTCAAATAAACTTAATAAGCACTTTTAAATAGTTATATATTTTTCATTCTGCCACTTATTCGGAACGCAGACTCATCACAAGAAGAATGAGCAAGAAACTTGCGAGTTGCTCTTTTAAATAATTTTTTCAGAATGACATTTTTAAGAATTTTGTGTGAGAATATATCACATAACATATATATTAACATTTGCCCCGTTCTTTCAACTAATCTTTATATCTATATCTACACATCTATACATATAAATAAAATTGGAGTGTCTGTTTGTAATATTGAAATAAGCGTTTTTTACTACATGCATTTGAATATAAATACGGTACATACACCAAAAAACCACTTTTTACATTTTTTGTCTGTCTGTTTGTTCCGGCTAATCTCTGAAATGGCTGGACCGATTTTAACGGGTCTTTTTACCAGGTAGCTGATGTAATAACGAGTAACTTAATATAATTTTTACGTTATTATTTTCAGCGGTACCGAAATGTTCGAAGAAATCGATGACAACTCGATATCACTCGAAATAATGGCATTCCCATCAACAAACAAACTACAAAAGGTCATGCACACAATCACAAACATGATCACACCGATACTGCAAACAGAGGACAACACCGACATGGACGTAGAGGACGTCGATAAAAATAACAAGAAAAACAAAAAGAACGAGAAAAAAGCAATTGAATGTAACGGCAACACCGAAGAAAATGTAGAGAAAAAGAAATCCAAAAAGAAAAAGATTGTTGAAGAGGAAGCTAAAACAGATAATACGGAGTTCAATAATAATACAGAAGCGGCAGTGGTGGAAGAACAAGAAGTTAAAAGTGAGAATAGTAAGAAAAGGAAGAAGAAAGGTGACAAGAGTGAGCGTCCGAAGTTGAGTAAGACTAGCTCTGTGTGCAGCTCGCTCAGCGATATGAGTAAAGCGAGTGGCAAAACTGAGAAGAAAGTGCCGCCCACTATCGATATGCCATTCCTCGAGAGGCAAATGAATGAGTTGCAGCGGACTATAGAAAAGTTGGATAAGGTAAGAAAGTTTTGTACTAAAATCTAATATATAAAAATCTTTTGTCATAGTGTTTGTTATCAAACTTTTTATCGGATTTTTCAAAATTATTGGTGTATTTTTGATAGGTCTGAGAATAGGATTTTTTAATGTAATTTGCACCCGACTGCGCTAACGGTTTATGCTATCGGGGCGCTAGTGGAGGATGATAAGATGAATATGAGTCAGTCAGTTAGCGCATCGTGGCAAATTCTCCACTAATGTATCACGATAGTTTCCAGGGGAAACCTCGTAGAGGTTATCTCATATAGTACAATGCTAGCAATAGAATCCATTATCCACATTAATAACAATGAACTTCCACACTCTGAGAATATTTTATAGGTGATTTTTTACACCCCTAGATGACAAGGATGACAATTAATTTGTATCCCAAAATATTGTTTGCTTAGTCACCTGGTAATGAGCAAAGTCTATTACTCACTGAACGATTAATTGAATGACGAGCGTGCATGGCAATAGTTGTCCATGCACGGGATTTTCATTTAATTTTAGACATAGACACCTATAATATACATTGTAAATAAACTGGCTTTTAAAAAAAATATTAATATGTTTTACGGCTCTGGATACAAGTCCTTTTTAGCCCAACTTAAAAATGTTATGTGTATTATTTTGTTTTATATTTTATTAATATTTTACATTGATTTTCTTGCCACTTATTCTCAATTGGATCTATATACTGAACTGGACGGTAGGGAAAAAAATAAAATTATAATGTGAAAAATTTGACGTTCATAAGCGGCTAATATTTAGTATGAATAAATGATTTTTGAATTTGAATTGAAAATGTTATAAAAAGGAAAAAGATAGTTTTGTCTGTAATGGTCTGTAATAAGTCTTAATAAGTCGTAATAAGAAATAAGTAATGTGTCTGTAATAATCTTAGTAGTTCTTCTGGAGTGCCATCTGCACTCGCTCCCTATAATCCGATAAAGCTCTAAAGGCTAGCTGCGGCCAATAGATTAGAGTAATCCGAAAAAAAAATTGCAGAGATTCAGTGCAACACTAGACATAAAGTTAACTGATGGTTGTTTCCAGAGCTGGTTGGAGAAGGTGTCTGCAGGCAGGGTGCAGGCGCTGCAGCTGGCGGGCAGAGTGCTGGCTGCTAGTCTTCTCATGCCGCTCTCCATCAGGTATTAAATCAATCAGTACAATTAGTAAATCACGGGATCTTACCACGTTTTGTTTTTATTGAGTTCCCGATAGTAGTAATAAACGTAGTGTGAAGGTAGATGAATGTGTCTGCCTATAAAAGATTTATTTACCATCTACCAGCTGCTCTTCAGTTTACCTGTGATCATGGCGGTTGAAACACTGCCGAAATATCGGGAACTCAGTGAAAATAAAACGTGGTAACATCCCGTGATTTACTAATTATACTTATAATTATCATTATTTACACGTATAATTAGTAAATCGTATATCTATACATATAAATAAAATTGGAGTGTCTGTTTGTAATATTTAAATAACCGTTTTTTACTACATTCATATGAATATATTGTAAATACGGTACATACACCAAAATAATATTTTTTACAATTTTTATCTGTCTGTCCTTCTGTCTATTTGTTCCGGCTAATCTCTGAAATGGCTGGACCGATTTTGACGGGACTTTTTTTTGGCTGGTAACTGATATAATAAGGAGTAACTTAGGCTTATGTTCATTTTAGAAAAAAATCTTTTATTTATATATGAAGAAAGTTAAATTCCACGCGGACGAAGTCGCGGGAACAGCTAGTATAGCTGATACATCAGAATAATATATAGGCTATATTTTGACGCGGGTGAAACCGCGGGCTCAGCTAGTATAATAGTAAGTCCAATAATACATGCAGTTATGGATAGACTGATGATTGCTGTCCGTTGCCAAAGGGTGGTGGCTGCTGCGGTGTGGGTGGTGGGCAGACTAGCCGCCGCTTCCCGGAGCCTGCTGCGCTCGCACGCCGCCCTACACCTGGCCACGCTGCTCGCCGTACAACTCGTAAGTGCCCCAACTACTTATTAAGTCTATTCTACTAACTATTTAATTCCCCCCAATCGATCCTCGGTCCGATTCAATGGGAATCGAAATTATGACGGCCTGAGCCGGGGTTTGAACCCCTAGCGGTATCTTAGACTAACGTCGTATTTGTCAGGCGGGAGTTGGTCTACAGCCGCTCCATAAGTCCTTCTTTTAGTTTGGAGTGTCATCTACATTCGCCCGGTACGTCCGGTGAAGCTGTAAAGTCCAGCTGCGGCCAACAGCATTGGAGTAGTCTGGAGATGAAACTACTTAATCCCAGATATTAGCTGCATTTACATGAAACGTTCTTTCACGCGCGCCCGATTCCCGGGTGAAAGAGTATCCCGTCATACTCGTGAACGGTTGCTGTTTGTAGGGTCTGTTCTGATAACTATAATAATCTCAGGACACTTCACACAGCGCCATCTAGGCCCAAGTTAAGCTAGCTAAAGCTCGTGTTATGGGTACTAGATTGTTTGTTTAACTTCTTAATTTGTTATTAATTAAAACACCGGTATAGATTTGACGTATCTGTATTAAAGACTGCCATTACAACAATCATAAATAAAAAAAAGTAAATGCGCTTCAATCACTTAACACTAGCGCGCCATCTATGTTGAAATATTGTAACTAATTTTAGCCAAGATAACTGATACAAATACATAGATTTTTCTTTTGTAAATATATACATATTATACATAGAAAATACCCAGACCGATACAAACAATCATACTCATATATACAAATGTTTGTGCCGTGCGAGGAATCGAACCCGCGACCATCGGTCGTAAAGCGGTGTGCTAGACCGCTAGATCACCGAGGTCGTCAACTATGGCTGACTTATTTTGTTATTCAAGTAACTATTTATTTACTTATGTCAAGCTATTTGCTATTTGTATGACACAAAATTTTTAAATGTTATTTATTCCGAAAAAAAATTCTCAGATTTATCAAAACGCTCACAAAAGTTTCTTGAGAATCGAGTCGAGTCTGTTTCGGAGGAGTATGCAAACGAAAATTGTGACACGAGAATTTTATACATAAGATTATTATATATCTATTATATTAAAATAAAATTACATATTACCGTACATAGTTTATCAAAATTTGATCGCAAAAATAAGGGTCGACAATTCAAGATAACACTTAAGTTGATATTGCATAATATTATATGATGCAAACTAACTTTAAATTTATTGGTACTTAGGTAGTCATTGTAATAGCTAACAATGATTAAAGTTCTTGATTTTACTTAGTTTGTTGTTTAAAAAGATATGGAACTTTTATTTGAAAAAAAATTTGAAATAGCGCCATCTAGTGGATATACAATGTATTAATTGAATCTTTGCTTATTTTGTCTTTATGCTGTTTGCTTTTACTGAAAGTTGTATTTGTATTCACAATAGATGGCACTGCTTGTCTTGAATACTCAATTGTTTTTCTTCATTGAAATTTTTATTATTATGGACTTGAAAGATGAGTTTGGTGTATGTTATTCAATATAACATAAAATTTTATATTAAAAAACATCTGGACCTGATATCAAAAATTCTGTTATTACTAGAAAAAAAAAATTAAGAATCTCTAATAATACTTTACATTAATGAACCCCTCGCTATGTATCAAGCAGGGTTGACCTCCACGGGGTTCTCCGGGTTTTTTTTTTGTGGATGATAATGGAATGATGCACCCGCCTGCGCTAACGGTTTACGCTGGCGGGGCACCAGTGGAGGATGATAAGATGAACATGAGGTCAGGTCAGTTAGCCCATCGTGACAAATTCACCAGGAATTTAACACGATGGTTTCCAGGGGGAACCGCGTGGAGGTCAACCCGACAAGGTATATTGCTAGCAATGGGTATATTGCTAGCAGTGCGAATACTGTAACTACCATATAGTAATTTTTGTAGCTGTGACGTGGTCGTATGGAATGAGTAGTCATGCTCACTAAAATGTCCAGACATGTGGCGGCGTGGTGGGCCGGGTCAATCAAAATATGGTCGAGCGCAGTGATGGCTGGCTCATCCGTCATACTCGTGAACGAGGGCTGCTTGTGGGGACTGGTCTGCTCTTATCACTACGACTGATTTAATCTTATTGCATGATTATATTTGACCCAAAAAATTAGTGCTTGTTGGTAGTTTGTATTCACACGTTTCGACTTGTAAATGTAAACTTACAAGGATTATTTAAAAGAGCAACACACAAGTTTCTTGCTCGTTCTTCTTGTGATGAGACAGCTTTCCGAACGAGTGGTAGATAAAAAACAAATTGTTATGACTATTCAAAAGTGCTTAAATTAAGTTTATTTGAATAAATGATTTTCTATTCTATTCTATTCTATTCTAATGGGGTTATCAATCCACATTACTAACAATTCCCTTCCCCCCGGGGTTCTCCGGGTTGATAATCATCCATCGTGATAAGTTCCTTGTAATTTATCTATCTATGTGCTAACTGACCTGACCTCTTATAATCTTCCACTGGGGGGAAAAGATAAAGTAATCTATACATATAAATACAATTGAAGTGTCTGTTTGTAATATTGAAATAACCGTTTTTTACTACATGCATATGAATATACGGTACATACACCAAAATATCATTTTTTACAATTTTCGTCTGTCTGTCGCTCTGTCTGTTTGTTACGGCTAATCTCTGAAATGGTTGGACCTATTTTGACGGGACTTTTTTTGGCAGTTAGCTGATGTAATAAGGAGTAACTTAGGCTACTTTTATTTTAGAAAAATAAAGTTTAATTCCACGCGGACGAAGTCGCGGGAACAGCTAGTATATAGTATAATATACTTAATAGTATAGTATATGTATGATATTTATAGTAGTAAAGACGTTATGAACATCAAAACTAACCGGCCGGAAAATGTACCCCTTTTTCGCTAATAGAAAAAGTTGCGTAAAACCGTATAACCGTATATAGGCATACGCGCTGACAGGAGACATTCTTATAGTTATATTCTGTTTATTGTTATTTTTACGACTTTTTGTCGTTTTTGTGTGCATTGACAATTGTTTTATGTTGAACATCACATTTAATTTTGCTGGAAGTAACACACAAGTTTCTTGATCATTCTTCTTACAAATGCTCTGAAATAGCCATTCTGCTCTATAATAGATTTGTACGGAGTGTTCTTGACTATTGTAGCCCCGTTTGGAATCCTAAGTACCAGGTCCACAATATCAGATTAGAGAAAGTACAAAAAATAAATCTCTATCATCTTGCTTTTTCGGATAATCAATGTAAACATCTTACCTCGTATAATTCTAGACTCAAATGTTATGTAACTACTTCCCTTTCAAGACGTCGGGAAACATCTGAATTGGTACTTTTATATGAAATCTTACACGAGATAGTCGATTGCCCTGATATTCTGCAAAATATTGGTATAGTAGTTCCACGATCATCTAGCAGACTGCTCAATAGAGATACCTTTAATCTCCCCAAGTGTAGAACTAACTATGGCAAATACTCCCCGGTATGTCGAATGACATAGCCCGAAGAATTGCGACTCTGAAGTGGCAATGGGCAGGGCACATAGCTCGTAGGACAGATGGCCGTTGGGGCAGTAAAGTCCTCGAGTGGCGACCACGGACCGGAAGACGCAGCGTGGGAAGGCCTCCAGCAAGGAACGACGATCTGGTCAGGAACGCTGGAAGGCATTGGATGCGAGCAGCGCAGGACCGATCGTCGTGGAGATCTTTGGGGGAGGCCTATGTCCAGCAGTGGACGTCTTCCGGGCTGCGATGATGATGATGATGATGATGATGTCGAATGTGTGAGAATTACAATAATGTCAGACATATATTTGATATTTTCGGTGCATCAGTTAATAATATTAAACGAACATTAAATTGTAATTTTCTTGAAATACAATGCTTTATAACATAACTAGCTTTTGGCCGCGGCTTCGTTCGCGTTAATTTATCCCTTTATGGGTGGAATTTATCAAAATCCTTTCTTAGGGGATACCTACGTCATAAGTAGCTTTATGCATGCATAGTCTCAGCCCGATCGGTTTATAATTGACAAAGTTTCATACAAACTTTCATCCCCTTGGGGGTACAATCAATCAAATTCCTTTCCTATAATTAAATTCCTTCTTAGCGGATGCCTACGTCATAATATCTACCTGCATGCCAAATTTCAGCCCGATCCGTCCAGTGGTTTGGGCTGTGCGTTGATAGATAACTATGTCAGTCAGTCGCCTTTGAGTTATATATATTTAGATTCTCTATTAATGCAAATTATTATTGTAAAGTGTCATTTTGTGTGTGTAAAAATATTAGTTATGCATGCTGTGTCTCCATCTAGAAGGATGTATTACTTAGTTTATTTTATGTGTATAAAGTTATGTACTCTGTAAGACATACAATTTTGTAGACCTAATAAATAAATTTGACGACCTCGGTGGTCTAGCGGTCTAGCACACCGCTTTACGTCCGATGGTCGCGGGTTCGATTCCTCGCATGGCACAAACATTTGTATTCATGAGTATGATTGTTTGTATCGGTCTGGATGTTTTCTATGTATAATATGTATGTATTTACGAAAAAAATCTATCTATGTATTTATATCAGTTATCTAGTACCCGTAACACAAGCTTTATATAGCTTAACTTGGGACTAGATGGCGCTGTGTGAATTGTCTTGAGATTATTATTATTATTAATAAATTAAAAAAAATCTGTACAATAAAGAATTACAAACAAATATGATTAAATGTTTTAAATTTATTTTTATGCATATAATCTTTCACACAGTCCATATTTTCTTTCTTCGGCCGTCCTCTCCCTTTCACATCAATTCACCATCATACTAAATACCTTCAACTTTTTCTATTAGCGAAAAAGGGTACGTTTTCCGGCCGGTTAGTTTGATGTGCACATTTCAATCAGTTGCCGTCAACCTTTCCGGGAAGTTGTTAAATCTCATTGCGTTTTATGTTTACGATCTCTTACTG